GTGGGAGGTGTGCAGGAGGCAGCTGATTGATGTTTCTCTCTCATCGATGTTTCTAACTATCTATCCCTCTGTCTTCCTGTGAAAAATCAATAAAATGTATTTTTTTAAAAACTTATTTTAAAAAGAAATGTCAGCTGAGCTAGGATTCTATGTGGAGGTTGGGGGGGAGAGGGGTGGATAGGGTGTAGAATCACCTTCCAAGCTCATTCAGGTCATTGGCAAAATGTCTTCTCTGCAGCTGTGGGTCTGAGCATCCTGTGTCAGTTTTGGCTGTCGTTTGATAGCTGCTCACTGCACCTAGAGGCCTCCTACATTCCTTCTCACATGGCCCCTTCCTCCTTCATGTTTTGGATCCTCATGTTTTGAATCTTTCTAGCTTCCCCCTCTTCTTTAGCCAGAAAACACTCACTGCTCTTAAGGGCTCATGGGCTTAGACTGGGATAATCTCCCAATCTTAGAGTCAACTGTGACATATAACAGACCATAACCGTGGGAGCACTATCTCATCGCATTCACAGATTACAGGGGTCACAGCAGAACATCAGTAGGACATTTTCAAAATCCTGCCTACTACAGAATCTCAAGGAAGAGAGAGGCAATAAATTAAACACACACACATACACACATACACACATACATGCATACATCTATAATAAAAGTGTAACATGTTAATTAGACCGGACCTCCTTCTGGAAGACCTTCCAGATGAAGCCAGAGCTACAAGGGCTGAGGCAAGCCACTGCAGTTGGGAGGTCTAAGGCAAGCTGTGACCAAGCGGTGGGCTGTGGCAGGTGGGCAGGGCCTCCCTCTGCAAGGAAAGCCCGGGTCCCGGGTGCCTGCTGGCGGTCTGAGGGAAGCCAGGGTGCCAGATACCAGAGGGAAGCCAGTGCCGACAGCCGGGTGAAGGCCTACGAATTTTGTGCATTGGGCCTCTAGTAGGTATATAAATGCACAAACACATGTATAATGACAGCCAGCCTCTAAGAAGGACCCTGTGATCCTCACTTTGGTAGTCACGCCCTCACACACTGTATGGGATATGCCTGTGTGAGCAGCAAAACATGCAGAAGTGATGGTCTACAACTTCAAGGCTAAGCCATAAAAGACAGTGCTGTTTATAGTTTGTTCTCAGAGACCACCTGCTCTAGGGAAAGTCAGAGGCTACGTCAGGAAGACACTCAAGCAGCCCCGTGGAGAGGTTCATGCAGCCAACAATGAGTCCCGCTGCTGACAATCAGCACAGACTCCCCTGCCACGTAAGGAAGCCATCTCGAAAGCATCTCCCCCAGCGCCAGCCAAGTTTTCAGAGAGCGGGGCCTTCAGCCAATATCTTGACCTCATAACCTCATGAGACTGTAACAGGAAACACCTAACTAAGCCGCTCCTGAATTCCTGACTCACAGAAACTGTAAGAGAAATATTTATTGTTGTTTTTAGGCACTAAGTTTTGAAATGATTTGTTAAACAGCAATGTATAACAAAAATAATATATAAATATATAGATACAAAAACATTAGATATACAACAACTTTAAAAACATATAATAAAAACACTCCTAAAGTAAAAGAATTACTGGTATTCATTTAAAAAATTAATTAAGTAGAAAAGTCATATTCTTTAAATGAGCTATTTTGATGACTTGAAAAAACAAATGGCATATACTGTAATATAAATACTATACCCTGCGATAGCAATAATATTAGAAGTTCCTGAAGTTTAGGTTATTCAAAGATCAAAGGGGAAAGTATAAGAAAACAAGCAGTATAGTAAACAAGCACTATATACTAACTGTACCGGTTAATAATGAGGATTTTTTTCAATGGATGGAGTTACATATATGTTGATATATATGCGATTTGATATGTATGCTATTTTGTTGTATTGACAACAAGCTTCAAAACTTCACATGTCAAAAAACATCATTGATATTTTTACACTTAAAAATGTCGAATTTCATACCGAAAAAAGAGCATTTGCAGGAAATTTTAATTCATTTTGAAGAAAAGTGCTGCTGAAAGTTATCATATACTTCAGGAAGCTTATGGTGAACATGCTCCATCTCAAGATACTTGTGAACGCTGGTTTAAATGCTTTAAAAGTGATGATTTTGATGTGAAAGACAAAGAACATCCAGATCAACCAAAAAAGTTTGAAGACAAACAATTACAAGCATCATTGGATAAAGATACATGTCGTGCAAAGAAATGAAAAATTGGGTCTCTAAATGGTTTGCCTCAAAACAAAAGTTCTATTGGGATGGTATCCACAAATTACCTGAAAGATGGGGAAATGTGTAGCTAGCAATGGACATTACTTTGAATAAAGCCCTTTTGATGTTTCTCTTGAAATTATTGTGTTTTCTTTGATTACAAAAATCCGCTATTATTAACTGGTTCACCTAGTAGATACCCTAGTGGCCAGACAGGAATATTTTAGGCTTTGTAGACCATGAGGCCTCTGTCACAACTAACTCAACTCTGCCTATAGTCACAGACAAAATGTAAACAAATGAGAATAACTATGTTCCAATAAAACTTTATTTACAAAAAAGGGGAGTGAGCCAGATCTGACCACTGGGCAATAAGTAGTTCGCCAAAGAAATATCTGTACGCATGATCCAGGAGATATGTGCAAGGTTCACAGAACTTGTTTACATTAGGAGCAAACGGGAAGCAATCCAAATGTTCCCTCACAAGAGAAGGAATAAGTGAATTGTAGCATATTTTCAAAATGGTATGTGATACAGCAGTGACTTATACTCTTGCTACCTGCAACAACATGGATAAATCTTAGAAAACAATACTAAGTTAAAGAAGCAGAGAGGAGAGATACTATATGACTTAACCACAGATATATGACTTCATAGAGCTCAAAAATCAGCAAAACTAAGTAAAATGTTGTATCTCTAATGTATATAGGTAGTAAAGGTAAAGGAAACTACGGGGGGGGAATAGAGAATGGCAGAAATTCAGGATGGAGGTTTTCTCCCAACAGAAGGCCAAAGATCAGGGAGGAGTCCACAGCTAGTTTCAATGGTTTGGGTATTGTTCTGCTTCTTATATTAGCTCATGGGCTCCAGGAGTTCACAACTTACACAAGCAGGATATACTTAAATCTGTATACATAAAATAAATATTTTGTTTTTTAATAAAAAGTAAACAGAAATACTTCTAGATTCAGCTGACAATTCCCAAGAAGATGGAAGGGGCTGCCTTTGGCTGAGACAAAAATTAGAGAATTTGCCACTAATTGTCAGAGATTTCTATTCCAATTCAGCTCAGCAGATCATGAAAAAAAACAACACTTAAAAATAGCTTGAGCCGAAACTGGTTTGGCTCAGTGGATAGAGCGTCAGCCTGCGGACTGAGGGGTCCCGGGTTTGGTTCCGGACAAGGGCACGTACCTTGGTTCCAGGCACATCCCAGTGGGGGGTGTGCAGGAGGCAGCTGATGGATGTTTCTCTCTCATCGATGTTTCTAACTCTATCCTTCTCCCTTCCTCTCTGTAAAAAAATCGATTAAAACATATATACAGCTTCAGAAAGAATTGATAAAAACTGAGTGTAATGTATTGAAAATTATTCTAAAACTTAAGAAACAAGAAGTAGTTATTGGCTAATCTGCCTTACATCAACTTTTTGTTATTTAAATAAGTTTATAACTGTGGATCACTATTGTTTTAAACTTTTTCAAGCAAAAATCCAACTAAATCACAAAAGTTATATAAAATAGAATTCTGGCACCATCTGGTGGCGGTACTCTGCAACAGCAGGTTCTAATTTTATTTTTTTTAAAGGTTACTTCACTCATTCATTTACCAACTATCTAATAGACAAATACTAGGCATAGTACACACCTTTTTTAATCCTTTCTGAAAGACAGGAAATAAGATATAGTTTTGTATCTAAAACAGGGTTTTAGATCTTTAAGGGGAAAAAAATTACAGTTAGATGTATGGCTATCGGCATGTAAGTGTCCTGTTTAGAAGTCTGCTTAAAGTATCTACACCCCTGGAACTCTCAGGTAAAAAGTCCCTCAGGAGTGTATTGGTAAACATAGTCTATCAATCCACCACATCAGGACCAGTGGGCAAACCAATGCAGTTTTCAAGGAAAAGAACTGGTTTTTAAATGTCTTCAGATCCTTTCTCGACACTTCGTCCTTCAAAGGTAGAGCCTAATTTCCCTTTCCCTGAACTTGGGCTGGACTTACTGACTCAGTTCCAACGAAGACAATGTGGCAGAAGTAATGATGTGTAACTGCCACAGTCAAGTCATCAGAGGCATGGCCAATTGCATCTTGCCTTCTTTTGGATCATCCATCCTGTTGCCCTCAAATCAGCCCTCATGTCATGAGAAGGCTCAAGCAGCCTGGGAAGGAACCCAGACCTGCTGTCAACACCAGAACCAACTTCCCAGTCCTGAGTGAGTCCCCGTGGAAACTGCCGCCAGCCCCACCAAGCCTCCAGACGCTGCTTTCCTCGCCAAGGTCACCAAGCTAAGCCATTCCCAAAGAAACAAAACCAGTAAGTGCTCTTTGTTGTTTTGAGGTAATTTGTTATGCAACAGTATATAACTAAGATCTATCACTTCCTGCAACCAAATTCTATCCTCAGCAGGAAATAAATATAGCTCATTTCAGTGCAACACTGTAATTTTCCCACATGCCAGTAAAATTGCAAATTTTCTTTCCTAATACACTAAGTTAGTGATTCTTTTTTAATTCCTCCAAATTGTTTAATATTATTTCATAATATTCAACTCTTTCCAAGTTAATTCAAACAAACAGCAACCAAAGCTGAGCAGTCAGTCAACAAGGATTTTTTTTTTAACATCTTGTTGCAGAGCAACTATACTAGACACTGAGTAGAAAACCATATCCTGGGTGCTTATAATTTAATTCAGATTAATATTCAAGAAAGAATGTGTTTTTTTAACTAAGTTTTTTTCCTGCTGAGAGTAATAGTTATTAAAAAGAAGGCCGGGAAAGTGTCTCCTTTACCTCTGAGAGGGATCCGCAAGCTACACCGCCATGCAGGGCTTCGTCCAAAGCAGAAAGAGTTGTAGGTAAGAATGCTGGCGAGACAACAGCAGACCTCCGTGCCTTTATCTCAAAAGCCTGAACAAGAAAAAGATTAACTTCTTTTCAACCTCCATATCTACTCAAAAACATAAACCAACTCCAAACCTCAAACTGAATCAGTTAGAATGCCAATTCCATCTTTTTATCCTCTATTATTTGTTTGTTTGACAAATATTTACTCTTTGCCAGGAACTGACTAGATGACATGGATATGATTTAACAGACAGCCCCTTCCCTCACAGTTCTTATAGTCAACCATCAGGACTAGAAATTGGACAATTTCTATACAATTAATAAGAGATATTGTGAAAGGGAAAGTGGAGGCATAAAGACAGTACACCTGACCTGGATTGTATAATCCAGGAAGACTTCCTGGAAGAGCTGGACTAAAAGCTAAAATCTGAAAAGCTGTTGGACAAGCAAAGGAAGTGTGCATTTCCTGCCAGAGAGAAAAATGTACAAAGAACGGTCAAGAAGCAATAAAAGCCGAAACCGGTTTGGCTCAGTGGATAGAGCATTGGCCTGTAGACTGAAAGGTCCCGGGTTTGATTCCGGTCAAGGGCGTGTACCTTGGTTGCAGGCACATCCCTAGTAGGGGGTGTACAAGAGGCAGCTGATCGATGATTCTCTCTCATTGATGTTTCTAACTCTCTATCCCTCTCCCTTCTTTTCTGTAAAAAATCAATAATATATATATAGATATATATATACTATATATATCTATATCTATATCTATATCTATATAGATATATATATAGTATATATATATCTATATATATATATATATTTTTTTTTTTTTTTAAAGCAATGAAAGGAGGACATGGAAACCAACAAAACAATAAAGACTTCATTTAGAACAGCTGAAAGATGGCGTGTGGCTGTGGTATGAAAGGCAATGAGGCTGGAGAAATAAGTAGGGGCCAAATCATAAAGAGCCTTGTTTAGAGTTTATGCTAAGAGCAACAGAATGACATGATCAAGCTGTCATTGGTTGGTGGGGAGTGGCTAAAAGGCAGGTGTGGCAGGCTGAGAAATATCCACATCCAATCCTGGGGACCTGGGAACGCCACCTTATTTGGAAAAAGAACCTTTGCAGATGTGATTAACGTGATTACCTGCCCACTGGTCACGTATGAGTATACTTGCCTCTTGCAATCTCTACAATTAAATTTTTCATTTTTATGAATGAAATGAAACCATAAAAATGCATTCATTCAATAAATTAGAGGGCCTACTGAGGCCATATACTGTGATTAGCTCTCGAAATACATGTACATGGTAAGCCAAATATACAAAGTCTACCCACTTAAAGTTTACAATTTAATAAATCAATGTCTCAAATCCAAGGCTCTTCTGCCCCTGTGAGGATGTAGGAAGACCAACATACTAATATTTATGAGCCATAAATGTGACAACTCTTCTCTAACTTTACCTATTGAATTCTTATTTCAGTTAAACCATGGATTACCACAGATTTTTTAAGGTTATATACAGGCACATAAAATAATTAGAAAAACTACTGTCAAAGTTGTATGACTTGCATCTGATTTAAAAATGCATGAATCTTACCCACAATCCATAACCAGGCAATGTGGGTGGACATGGGTGGGGACACTCTGTCAAATATGCAAAGGCAGCCCCCTCTGTCAGCATTAAAGTGCTTCACTTGCAATTACAAGTGTAATTATTAGAACAATAGATTTTTTACTCTCATTTAAAAAAGAGAGAGAGAGAGAGAGAGAGAGAGAGAGAGAGAGAGAATAAAATAAACTAAAAGACCAAAACTCCAGAAATAACAGTATGTGAATAAATGAGACAGAGTAATACGGTGATACAACATCCCGCCTGCTTTTCTTCTACTTTGATACTTGCTTCCTCTCAGACTCATTATTGTCTAAGCTCATCTTTAAAGGTTGGTTTCACTCGCCCAGCCAGCAAGGCTCAGTGGTTACATGTCGACCTATAAACCAGGAGGTCACGGTTCGGTTCCCAATCAGGGCACATGCCTGGGTTGCGGGCTTGATCCCCAGTGTGGAGTGTGCAGGAGGCAGCCAAGCAATGATTCTCTCTCACCATAGATGTTCCTATCTCTCTCTTTCTCTCCCTTCCTCTCTGAAATCAATAAAAATACTTTTTAAAAATAATAACAAATACATAAATGTTGGCTTCCATCAGGACTTGGTCTTAGTCAGGACTTGGATATACTTAACCTTCTAACTACAAAAACTTCCCAGGGAATTGCTGATCCATTCCCATGGCTTTGACTACCATATTTACACTGAGACTCCCAAATGCATCTTTCTAATGCAGACCTTTCTTCCAAGCTCCATGTCCATATACAGGTTGGGGCAAGAGTAGCTTTACAGTTGTGAGTACATTAAAAACAAAGCTTATTCTATATGATTTATTAATTATTGTTTTATTTTCTATTTGAACAATTGGAAACCTACCTTTGCCCCAACCTCCATTTAACTGCCTACTTCACATCTCCACTCAAAAGTTTCAAAGGCACCTTAATTTCAACAAGCCCTAAACTGAATTCATGATCTGACTTCCTCAAACCTGACCCTCTTCCAGTATCCCTTATCTCGGAAAAGGGTACCACCCTGTTTCTCAAAGCAAAACTCAAGGAATCATCTGACACTTTCCTGTACTCAACACTATCCAAAGACAATGACCAAATCCTATGCATTCCACCTCCTCAGTCTCTCTCATATTAATTAACATTAGAAAATCTGCATTAATACCACACTAATAACCCAGGCCACAATCACTTTCTTTCTGGAAAATGTTAATAGATATTATACCTAACTATTATTCACAAATATATCTTGCTCCTTTTCAATCACCTATGTTCAAAACTGAGTCTCTAAAAATACATTAAATTACACCCTGTTATAGCTTCTCAATGTTCCCAGAATAAAGTCCAAAATCCTTAACATTGTCTGCAGACCCTAACGATCTGACTCCTGCTTACTCCTTGACTTCATCTACTGCCATTCTCTTCCTCACCGCTGCATTCCATTCACACCAATTCGATTTTATGAACATGCAAGCACCATTCTGCTTCCTTCACAGGCTGGACCCTCTGCCTGGGAAGTCCTCCCCTCTCACCTCCCTTCCCAACTCCTTTGCTTATCTCTCTCCCATTCATCCTTCAGGTTTTGGCCTCAGTGTTGGTTCTTGTGGGAGCCCTTCCCTAAATTAAGTAATGTCTCCTGTTATTATTAAGTTTCAAGACTCCTTGAACTTCTTCTTCACAGGACTTACTACAATTAACTAAATATTTATGTAATTATTTGTTATTGTCTGACTTCTCCCACTAGACTATAAGCTACGGGAAGGCAGGAACTTTATCAATCTTGCTCACTACAACATCCCCAGTACCTGACAAAGTACCTAACACATGGCTGGACTCAATAAATATTGGTGGAAAGAATAAATGACTGAATAAATAGGCAAAAAAAATATTTACTGAAGGAACGAACGAAGGCTAAGCCAATGTTAAGGCAGGACTCAAATCTAAAGAATGCTACAAGAGTGAATTTATAGCAAAAGGGAAAGATGAGTTCCTGAATTGGCATTTGGAATGGTATCGGATTGGAAATGAAGTTACGATGTAAGTGGAGTCTAAAGTGAATTTCTTGCCCATGCTCTCTTATTACTTAACTAGAAATAGGCCATAGATATTGACTACATACAATTAAAAATATCAAATTAAAAGGTTTTGCCGAATCCGGTTTAGCTCAGTGGTAGAGCTTCGGTCTGCGGACTGAAAGGTCCCAGATTTGATTCCAATCAAGGGCATGTACGTTGGTTGCGGGCACATCCCTAGTAGGGGGTGTGCAAGAGGCAGCTGGTCGATGTTTCTCTCTCATCAACATTTCTAACTCTCTATCTTTCTCCCTTCCTCTCTGTAAAAAAATCAATAAAATATATATATTTTTTTAAATTAAAAGGTTTTCCTGGTGTTTCACAACCTTTGAAATAATAGCAGGTTATTCTGAATCTAGTCACAAAACCATCTCACTATTTTAACTCTAACTTCTCTGCTCAAAGTGAGCTGTCCAAAGCTAGAGATCACTGGCAAAGCTAATACCCTGTTTCCCCGAAAATAAGACAGTGTCATATTAATTTTTTCTCCCAAAGTTGCACTAGGTCTTATTTTCAGGGGATGTCTTATCTTTCCATGCGCTAAGTCTTATTTTCAGAGGATGTCTTATTTTCAGGGAAACACGGTAGTAGTGCCAAACCCCAACTGCGATTCTAATTCTCCTTCTTCCTGCTCTGACTTTAAGATATTTTCCTCAGATCACAAGCTAAAGCTGAACAAAAGAAAGTACTTAAACCGTCCATTGTTTCACAAGTCTCAAATGACACTACCTAATTTGCAGAATTGAACTCTACTTTATTGCTGAGTAGCTACCAAATTTCAACATGAGAGAGTAAAATAAGTAATTTACAACCCACATAAATAAATACATTTTGAAATCACTAAACAGACTATTAGGCAACTCTTATCTTGGAAAAACAATATCTTCTCTACCATGCATAAACTTACAATTTGAAAAGCTAAAGTCATGTGACAGAAAATATGAAAAAATAGTACCACCTGATGTTATAAAAGACTTTTACTCTTCTCAAGAGTGAGGATAAGTTTTTAAGTATTATTTATTCAACTAAGAAGCAATGCAAACCTAATATGTATACCCTATGATTTACAGTAAGTGATGATGGTATAAAGATAGGGGAAGCTATAATTAGAAGTACTGTATATTAACATTTAACCAAGAGGACCACAAATCCTACCCAAACAAACAAGAGAAAGATGACCATTTGAAATATCACTTTTAGCTCCAAAGGAAAAAAACTTTGTTTTGTCTCATTCCCATAATTAGGAACTATCTTCCATGAGCCTATAAACTACATAAATTTTCACATACCGGTATGTTCTCACTATAAAACTAACTCTCGTGTAACAGTCAATATTTTTGAGGTACTCATCTCTATTTTTGTTTCTGCCTCACCCCAAATAAGATGAAGAATAATATCAAAATAAAAATAATAACCAAATCATAATTTTAAAATATAATATACCGTTTGCATCCGTGGGGCACAGGCCTTACTGACCACACACAGAAGTTCATGGACACCTCGATAACTAAGGCCAGTGATCTTCATAAGCTCCAATGGGGAAAGACATAAAAAGTCCTAAAGAAAAAGGCAGACATATATAATACTTTTAACAATAAAGATTTTTTTAAAAGTCCTAAAGAGACATAAAGAAAAATATTTTAAACATATATGAAACAAAGATAGTGGAATCAAAAGGAAAAATCCAAGTGCTATTATCCATGTGTAGATAAAAGTGAAATTTATTGCAGATCAAATATTTATGTGATCCTTATAGTACTTGCCCTTCAAAATACGCCTGAACTAAAACATATGATAGTCTTAACTTGTAATTATTCTATTTAGTTGGCATATGCCAAAGGACTCACTTAGTAACATCACAAAACAGCAGCATCCAACCCATCTGTGTTTGAACACTGCACTAGTACCTGAAAAGTTTGGGCACAAATATCCAGAAAGTGTCAGGTGGAAATGTGTTTCTTCTTAAACTACATGAGATCATTCAGAGGAAGTGTTTGATAATTGACAGAGAGCCAAACTGACTATGGAATGAAATGTTAAATTTCATACCTTTAAGGGTGTTTCAAAATATGAATACAAAGACTATTAAATATATAACAGAAGAACCAAAAAGACCTTTAACACACAAAGAAATATCTTAAAATTACAACATATTCTGAAAGTCTGACTTATAAAGGATTAAATCCTAATCTAAAACCTTAAGTCACACTTAACCCAAAAGAGATTTGCTTCACTGTTGAGCTTAAAATTGCAACATCTTCTCTATACATTTTCTCATTCCATCAATAGGAAAATTATCCTAACTATTAATTTCTCCTGCTTTTAAGAGGAATTACCCATTTTGAATACCATTTCCTCATTTGAGTCATATTTCTCATGTAATTACAAGATTTATTTTAAGTAGGTGAAACTTCTCTAGAACCCCAAATAAAGGCACTTGTGTACTTCACTTTATCCCATGAGCATCCTTCTCCCCAAAATGTAAAAATATTAAACCTAGATAAATGAAATCATACTTGGAAGTATAGCCTACATGGCTCATCATTTAAAATTAGTCTATAGAGAAACACCATCAAGATTCCTTTTTATTCTACAAGCCTAAGTTTTTACATTTCAGATTTACTTAAAAGAGTTATTAAGGTATACTTAAAATTAATTTGTACTTGATGTTTCTCATTGGAAAAAAAATTAAATAAATTTTACCTGACAGGTAACAATCTGGTGTCTGTTCAGACGGTCACATAGCTCTTGTGATAAACCCACTCGTCTCAGTTTCTTGCTTCCCATGACTCCATATGTGGGGGAGTGAGGAAAACACACCTTGAAAAAGCATCAGAAAATAGCATAAGCAATAATTGATGGCTACTTTCTAAAACACTTTACACAATAAAAAAAATTCTTCAAATGTTTCCATGTGCATAGTGAAATGTACAGTATTTAAAATATTACTGATAAAATAAAGGAAGGCACACATACATACAGAGAAGCATATACTAGTACACAGAGAAACAAGGCAAGATAAAAATATACCGTTCACACCATTCTTTGATAGTTATTACATGAATATAATAATGCCACTTGACATTTGTAAAACATCTTGAGATTTTCAATGCATTTATTAATTTGCATGTATAAATAACCTTCCAGGCATAGTTTGAAACCTCTCCTAGAAAGTCTTTACTTTCATTGAGTTGTAACAATAATAAATTTATTGAGCGCCTACTATGCCAGGCACGGCTGCTATAAAATAGCACATTTAACCTTCTCAACAGCCCTGTAAGAAAGGTTATGGACCCCACTTTTGCATATGAGAAAACAAAAACCTTGAATGTTTAGCTATTCTATTATCACCAGAAACAGTAAATGATGGTTCCCAACTTCAAATCCAGGAAGTCTGACTCTGAGGTCTATCCTGTACTAATCTTGTACTCTACTGCAAGTCCATGATCATATTTAACTTCTATGAGTCTGAATCAAATGAGATTTTATTATCCCAGGTGTTGCCAGTATTCACAAGCTGAATTACTGTTCAGTATACTAGCTTCCCACACTCCCACTTACTATACTAACTGATCACACTCCCATATGCTAGGTGCTAGAACAGAATCACTGTGATTCCCTTAGTAATGTATGCAAAGGAAGGCTGTGTACCTCAGTGAGATGGCAAAAAAAAACTCTCTGGTTAGAATAGAAACAGGCACTCTTCATTGTTCCAGGGGATAAAGCAGTATAATTATCAGAAAAGTTTTCAAACAAAAATATATACTGAGAATATGGGTATTTATTTTCAATACCATGACCCAAATTTCTATCCAAATTCTCGGAATCAGATCATCTCTGCGTATCAGATTAAATCTCTCTCTCTTTCATATCCTCCCCACAAACACAGAATACATCCCTCACAATTCTCTTAGTGGGAACTTGTCAGTACTCATTTCTCTTTCCGCAGAAGAAATTTTACTAAGTGACATGTGCTATGTCATTGCCTAGTGTCTTTACAGATCAGGTAGTTCTGCAAAAGGGCACCATTTAGATGGATACATTCAATAAAAAAAAATAAAAAATAAAAAAAAAGGAGAGCAGTAAACCCCAAACTGCCTGGACTTTAACAATGGCCAGCTCCAGTCCTGGCCAGTGTGGCTTGGTTGAGGATCCTGTGTTGTACTGAAGGGTTGCTGGTTCAATTTCTGGTCATGGCATATGCCTGGGTTTCAGGCTCGGTCCCTGGTAGAGGGTGTGCAGGAAGCAATCCATCAATGTTTACTATCTGATCAATGTTTTCCTCTCTCTATCTCTCTTCCTCTCTAAAAGTCAGTTTAAAATCTTAAAAAACACACACAGCCCTAGCAGGCTTTGCTCAGTGGATAGAGCATTGGCCTATACACTGAAGGGTCCCAGGTTTGATTCCTGTCAAGGGCACATGCCTGGGTTGCAGGCTCAATCCCCAGTGAGGGCTTGCAGGAGGCAGCCGATCAATGCTTCTCTCTCGTCATTGATGTTTCTATCTCTCTTCCTTCCTCTCTGAAATCAATTAAAAAATATATTAACACACACACACACACACACACAAAGAAAAAACAATGACCACTTCTGTTACCTCTGTTAACTCTGCCTTTATTCAGGCCACTCCCATCAGTTGCCTGGACTATTGCATGCTGCTTCTAGTCACTCACTGCCTCACACACATATGCAAAATCCATTCATTTGCCTCTCTTACAGACACTCTTTATTTTATTTTACTTCATTTTTTAACCCTCATCCAAGGATATGTCTACTGATTTCTATAGAGAGGGGCAGAGAGAAACATCCATCCTCCCTCTCCAAAACACACACACACACACACACACACACACACACACACACTCCAACCAGGATTTGAATCCCGCTCCAACCAACTAAGCCACACACCAGGACCACAGGCACTTTTTAAACACACACTCTGCTAAGTTCTGGGATACAAGAATCATATTCCCTCCCCTTCGGCAACTCACAGTAAAAGTTGAAAAGAAATGTATACAAAAAGAACTAGTCATGCAATAAATATTGCCATTGGTATTTAAATGTGCTGTGGACAGGGAGGCACACCAAACTGTGTGCAAGGTAGCTTCCTAGAAAGTTGCTCCAATCCTGTCACTCTCATCCTTTAAAACTGCCCATGGAAACCCTTCAGGGTAAGTTCCTCAGGATTAAGACGCTTCATAAATCGATTCCTCCTTTCCCTCTCATTACTACATCGGATTGCAAGGCCCAAATCCTGACCTTCCTGGCAAAGTTACTTCACCTCCCACTGTTTTAGTTTATCCATCTGTAAAATGAGGGTAATTTCAAATATCTACTCCATAGGAATGAAATGAAAGTTGAAGGATTTCACATAAGGCTCCAGGTAAATCATCATTATCAGTTTGTTCAGCAAAACATCATTTGCTGCCTCACATGACCTGCTCTCCAGCCACCACAGTGTATTGGTAGGTTAGGCAATCATAGCCATCCTGCCTCCCTGACTTGCCTCCACAAAGCTTTAACCAAACTCAGCCTCTTCTTCTCCAATGTTCTCATCTTTGTACATATATTTGCCCGGTAATTAACGTATTATTATGGCTTATATGTTTGATTCTTCCACCAAAGACTGTAAGTTCCTGCTCTGTATGTGTGTGCATACGCCCATGTGAGTGGGAATGGAAGAGAGTCAACCCTGGAGATTGAATCCTCTCCTCCTCATTGAAAGAAAACGCCTCCTGTTAGATGTTCAATGAAAACTGTGAAGTAACAATAGCTAATATTTATTGAGCCCTTATTACGCCCACTACACTGTTCCAAGCGCTTCGGATGTTTTGCCCCAGTTTACAGATTAAAGACAAGGAGGCACTGAGTTGAAAACTTCCACAGTCTGTAACAGCTAGCATATGATGGAGTCCGCATTCGAATCCAGGGATCTGACTCCAAATTCCACATTATCTCCCTGAAGACGGGCAGGCCCTAAACTTCCCCAAAACACGGGCTCTCCTGTCTAGACCCCCCAACTGCCCGGAAGTAAAAGGGGGGTGGGCATGAAGAGGCAAAAACAACACGGCAGAATCCCCTAAAAAAAGAACAGTTTCAACAAGGCCCAGCTTCCTTGCAAACTTGCAAAAGAAGCTCCCAGATCCGCGACAGGGTTCGTGTTAAGATTCCTATGGACTTAAGGGGGCGTGCCCTGCACCCAAGAAAGATTCTCCGCTATCCCAACATGTATACCACAGGCCCAGAGAGGGAGCAGAAAATAACGCGCACACCCCAATTCCCCACAATTGCCCCCAAGATGAGACTTTCCAGTACCGGGTCTGTAGCATCCAACTTTCAAAGTTTCCCCCACCCATCACTCAGTTCCCCGCGGAAAATGCTGCAAAGCAACAACCTAAGCGCTGATTGGGTCGTCGTCGTGGGAAATATCCAATCATAGGCAGGCAGAGCCAGGTCGGCTCCGCGGCTTGCCGGGAGTTGTAGTTTTCACACTCTGAAATAAACGTCAGTTTCTCAGTCTAATGACTATCAAAATGCGGTTGGGGAACATAAGCAAAAAGTGTATGAAACCAGAACAAACCTTGCTTGAAGTGTCTTATTTATTTGTCACTACACTGAAAAAGTGCTTAATGGATCTGAGACTAGGTTAGTTTTCTGGAAATCCATCTACACAGGAGAGGTTGTGGAAGAAGCTTTTGGTTTGTTTTGGCTTGCTTTTTACATCACCCTTTGGTAGTGATTTATAGTTTGGGCAATGCTAAATAAAATTGCTCCAGCCGCGTCCCACGGCGTTTAAAAAAAAAAAAGTCCCGATTTTAAAACGCCGCGGGACGCGGGACAAATTGTTAAAAATCGGAACTGTCCGCCAAAAGCTGGAACTGTCTGGTCACCTTACTCTATCTATGTTATAATGTAGACCACTTTATTTTTTATTATTGACCTGCGTCCCTCGACCTGTCACCTGACTCGACTAAACTGAGCTCCTTGAGGACAGGGACCACAACTTGTTCCGCTTCGAAAGCGTAGCACACCGCTCAGTTAACGGTGGTCGAGTAAATGAGCAAATAAATGAATAGAGTTAAACAGAAGAAAATGGAAATGCAGAACGTAGGGTTCTGGGATTATAAAAGGGCCCAAGTATGCAGAATAAAAATGAAGGGGGATTCACGTCTTGCTCTGGGTCACCCCCCCTCCCCCGCCCCCAAAGGCCTGGCAAAGCGCTGATTGGAGCTCAGTAAACGCTGCCTTCAAACGCTAGGGAGAAAAGAGGGCGGAAGAACTGTTTCGCCACCCGCTCCTGCCGCGGAACGCGGAACGGAAGTCGGAGCGCAGAGGAATTGTCAAAACTAAAAGGAATGTTCCTCAGCCAGGTAGCGAGGCGCTCCCTCCCAGCCTCCGAGCTTTCCCTAGTTCCTGGAGGTGGTGTCACGTGACCCAAACAAATATGGCGCCTTATTTGCATCTTCCCTTCCATTGGCCAATAGGAGCGGCCGCTGTGCATCGTCAGCCCCGCCTCCCGCCTTGCAAGCTCCGCATGGGACCTGTCACCTGACCCGACTGAAACATGGCTGCGCTGGGGGCCCTGTGGCTGTGGGCACCGGCGGCGGGTGAGTGTCAGGCACCCCAGAGAAGGCGGGGGCGCTCTCCAAGACCCCTGCAGGGAGCGTCCCTGCGCCCCCACCCTACCGCCCTCCACTTCTGACATGGACTCCCCCCCGGACCCCTAATCCTCTGCCTTACGGGAGGGCTCCATCTAGGGGGGTTCCTGCTGAATGTCTCACCCTTAAGGGGGCGACCACCTGGGGATTCGGACCCGGGCTGCGTCTAAAGTTCCGGAGGAGCTGCGAACGGGGAGTTTAGGGGCTGTGCCTCGGGATAATACAACCGTTAATATTAATTGAATGTTAGATGCTCGTAGAGAGATGAGACCCAACCCTTGGGGGAAAGGTGTAACTTCTCAAAGACAGGAACATGTCAAATCGATCTTGCAGTGACCAGTTGGGCTGGTAGTTACTAATTGTCTAAATACAACTCCTTCCATTTCCTCTCACTCTGGTGTGTACGATTAATAGGAGGTGATCCACGAAGGAGAAAATTGAGCATGTGTTCTGCGTGATTCATCCCTTTCTGTCTCCCTGCACTCTGTGCTGGGAAAATGCATCATCCATTTGGAAAAGAGGAGACCGCCTCCCAGAAGGAGCTTTTTGGATTTTTCTGTGAGTGCCTTCGGAGAGGAGAGTGGGAGCTGGCACAGGCATGTGTGCCTCAGCTACACGAGGCAGAAGGGGATGTCCCCAAGAAGGTGGAGGATATTCTACAGGCGCTGGTGGTGTGTCCACATCAGCTGAGGTAAGGGATCTCTCTTCCTGGCAGGCAGTCCCGGGGCAGGGGACACAAGGTTCAATGTTTGGGCGCTGGTCCATGAGCCTCACTCAACGACTACCTGAAGAATTAGCAGAGGGGGGAGTGTATTTCACATGCTCTGAAATTTTACCTCTGTAATACATACCTATTACTTACTTAACATTGGCTTGAATTATCATTTGGAACTGTGCTTAAGCTTGGCCAGCAAATTGTATATAGAACCACCATTTCTTGTTTATTATCATTAAAGTAGATGGTGGGACTGCATTGAAAAGCATTTTCTTTGCCTCAAAAAAACAAAACAAACAAAAAAAACCCTATTCTCTTCTGACTTATGAAATTGATGTGAATTAATTCACTTCAAAACTACTGGGAGTGAAATCACTTAAAGCTTTTTTTAAAAAATAATTGTACTCCAAGAAGTGCAAAAATCATACAAAAAGTACCCTTTCAATAGCTTCCCCCAGTTGTGACATCTCATAATAGTACAATAGCAAAACCAGGAAATTAATATAGGTAATGACTGTTAACTAGACAATTCCGTTTTCACTATGATTTGATCTGCATTCATTTTAATGTGTGTAGTTCTATGCAACTTTATTCATATGGATATTCATGTAACTATAATCAAGATACACAATTATTTCATCACCACAAAAGAATTCTATAATCAAGATACACAACTCTTTCATCACCACAAAAGAATTCCATCACTCCCTGAGCATCCCTCTTTGTATTTTAATCTCTCCTTGCCCACTGACAACTATTGCTCTCTATCTAAATATTTAATGAAATTCTTTCTGACAGTGCTAATAACTAATGGTATAAGAATTAAATGTACTATTCAGTTTTTCCCTCAATTTTCATTACTTTGGCAATTATGTTATATTAAGTACTGTATTAACATATATGGGGGACAAAAGTAGGTTTATAGTTGTGAGTATGTGAAACAGTCTATTCCCATATTATTTATTAATTATTATATTATTTTCCATATGAACAACTGTAAGCTTACCTTTGCCCCACTCTATATATGTTAATATAGTACTTAAAATTTGTGTTCCAGCCTATTACTGTCTAATTTAAATTACTAATATCAAAGAAAGGCTTTTGAGGTCCTGTAACCCTCTTTGTAGCATAGGGTTAGAAATAAATTTTTGTTAAGTTCCTTTTTTCTATAAAACCAGTTGATTCAGTTTCTGTTTTCAAGAATATACTTTAGATAGCTTTGCTTTAATGGTTTTCTATGTAATAGCTTGTTTAAAAATAATAAAGACTAGATAGGGAGGTAGAGGTAGGTTTAAGACCTTTTTTTCTTTTTTATTAAAATTGCTAGCTCTATTCTGATTCTAGTTTTATTGATTTGCCATGTACATTTGAAAATTTTATCATTAGAACATCTTGCCTGTTCAGGTTTAAAATAGACTGAGCATTGCCAAAACTGGTTTGGCTCAGTGGATAGAGCGTCGGCCTGCGGACTGAAAGGTCCCAGGTTCGATTCCAGTCAAGGGCATATACCTTGGTTGCAGGCACATCCCCAGTAGGGGGTGTGCAGGAGGCAGCTGATCTAGGTTTCTCTCTCATCGATGTTTCTAACTCTATCCCTCTCTCTCCCTTCAACTCTGTGAAAAATCAATAAGATATTTTTAAAAATAAAATAAAATAGACTGAGCATTGAAATCTAAATGTTGGATGGCAAAAGAGAAAAAGTCAGTAGAAATTCTTTGTTTAGAAATTCTTCCTTTTTATGTTTTTCAGATGTGGACAGGACATCAACCCTCAAAAATTAGCCTGGGTCTGGCTTCTTGTACTGGAAAAATGGTTTGCCCAAGAAAAAGTAAGTAGGTTTCATTTCAGATTTTCTCCAGAGACTGAGAACAGTTTGGCAGTAGTTATGAGGTTTCCCTTCTGTCTGTTACTTCCTTTATTATGAGGTTTGTAATATCCTCTCTCTGTACTGACAGTGAGAATGGCTTACATTTTTATTGATGTCTTCTTACCTAAATTCACTCATTAATTCACTCACATAACGTTAGCGTGTAATACCATTTGAGGTGATACCATTCTGCTAACTATCATCATGAGAGTTGTGCCTGAACAGAGCTTTGCAGAACTTGGTGAAAGTGACAAGGTCGGGAGTGACATATGACTCTCTTAATTTCCAAGTATTAGAGAATGGACTGTGTTGAAACTTGTTTGTTCTTCCAAAACCCTCATTTTCACTAGCCCAGCCAGTGAAATCTTGTCGATTTAAACCTCATTATTAATAAGTTAGTAATTAACATGAATTGAATGATAACTTACCAAATATAAAAACAAAGTGAGCAAATAAATCCTGAAAGAAACTTGTGAGGAAGTGCGCTTTTTTTTTCCCCCCAAAAGAAAAATTGCCATAAAAAGCCTTTTTATTTTTTTAACTTTAACTTTATTGGTTTTAAAGGAAGAGAGAGAGTGAGAGACAGAGGCATCAATTGGTTGCCTCCAGTACACCCTGACCGATAATGGAAACTGCAGTCTGAGTACATGCCCTGACCAGGAATCGAACCCGCCACCTTCTGGTGTACCTGGGAGTCAACCTTGGAATTCGGTCCATTCTCATGGAGAGATTAACAACCTTGTTGCCCAAACAGTGGAGTCCCACCCCAGCCTCCTACCTCCCCAGGCCTGTAATCCCTACTTCCCCAAACCTATAACTCATATTTTCCTGTGTAATATTTGTCCTACTCTATATACTAAGCAGATGACTTCTGGGGAGCTGCAGAGCAGATTTTTATGGATGACTTGCTGCTCTCCCATTCTGCCAGCAGTATTGGAATAAACATGCATATATGATTCAAAAAAGAAAGAAAGAAAAAAAGAAATTGATATCTGTTAAAGGTATTTCTCTGAGGCAATTTTTATTAAACCTCAGATTTTAAGATTCAAGTGAGGAATCTGATTAGAAGAAAAATGACTGGCCCAAGGTCATACCATGAAGCTGGCAAAATTAGAGCTGGAACCAAGATCTTCTGATTTTGAATTCCCATTCCTTTGCTTTTTCCACCTCTATATTAGTTTTAGCCTTCATGGGCTTAAAAGTAAGAACCTATATGTTCTATTTTGTGAATATCTATAATTTAGCCTGATTTTCTTCTTTACTCCCATCAGTCATCAGAATTAATTTTGTCTTCAGTTTCAGTTGTACTTCACCCCTACCCTTCTCTCCACAGAACTGTCAAAAGTAACAGAAATTACTAATCTAAATATATTTCTTATTCAGCCATTTGCCAGTTGTCTGCAAAAAGAAATGATGAAAAAAATAGGAGGAAAAAAGAGAAGCATAATTGAAAAATAACCCCAGGCTAATTAAGAATTGACTATAGATTCAAATTTAAAAGAGAAAAACGAGCTAAAATGTTTAATAGTGGCTTCAAATAGAAAAAGAAAAAAAATAATTTTATTGTTACTAAGGATATTTCCAGTACTATGGAATTTATCAACCAGATGAATTACTCTCGCTGAAGGGTATTTGCTTACTTTATGGCTGATCGGTTACTTATTTTATGGGCACGTGACTCAACCAGGTCCTTAGCATAGACACAGGGCTGTTCTTGCTTTTGCCAGCACCGAAGTTCCCTCGGTCCATAAGGTTCCAATACCTTAGTTACTTAAAAAGTTTTAGGACTTTTAAACTTTAAACAAGGACCTCAGAGAATTTTAAAACTTTATGCAAGGACTAAGATTTCAAGTGAATTCTTGGAGTAGTTCCTCAAGGCCAGCCATTATCCTGGAGTGGCTTTCATCTTCCGGGCAGTAGCTGGCGGCCTGTCCTTTTGCAGTCTCCCACCTCTTGCCAAAATCTTCCTTTGTAGTTATTAGTTGAAACGATGATTCCATTTTCCCTCTCCTTTATATCTTGTAGTGATTTAGCACTACATGAGTAACTGCAGAAATGTTCACTGCCATGCTGCTTCTGATAGAGGGAAGCTGGAAACAACGCCCATGTCCAATGCAGCATGGACTCATCTGTTTGTAAAATGCCTTTATGAAAATTGGGTGGTAAACAAATTGGCATGGAAAAAATGTTCATGTCTGCCATGTGGAAAAAAGACTTAGAAAACATTTGGTATGCATGCTTAGATGCATGGCCTGAAATGGCCTGAATGCCCTTATATCTATCACAGTATTAATAGTTCTTTTTAACTGCTTTGCTTTTATAGTAAGAAAGTCTGTGCTTAGAAACATGAAACAAATTCTTGCTTGTTTTAAAAACGTTAGTCATTTATGGCCATGCATATGCATAATATAATTTCACCAGTGAAATAAAATATAAATTAATTAGAATTCTAGATTAAAGTTCTAAAATCTTAACGAGACTTTGTTCTTTTATTAAGGGCTGCTGTCTACACATCTTACCTGTTCCTTCCCTTTAGTCCTCAGTAGAAGCACTAATATTTGCTTTCCGGCATGAATTTTCTCCAGCTTCCAATCACTAGTGTTATGCAAGCATTCAGATGGCATAGGTGCATTAGAGAAGGGTGTGGTAAGAAGAAATAGGAATTTTGAAGCAAGAACATGCCAGATCATGTTAGCCTCTGATGTGATTTATGAATGGCATGAATAAAATAAGTGTGATCTTGTGTTATAAACTCCCCTCCCACAAAATCCTGCAAATACTTCCTGCCTTGAGGTGGAAGACCTTTCAATAAAACCCAGCTTCTGGAAGCTTTAACCAACTATATGATTTACAGTTGTCTCTAATATAAAGCTATGTTTGTCAAGATTATTTCTACGCTTGATCTATTTGTATTTGTGTCTGGAGAAAAGGGAGACTATAGTTTTAGTTTTAAGAACTTGGTGAAGGGAAGTAAATGTGAAACAAGTTAGTCCCGAAAGAAGCAGAGGCTTTCTCTTCCTTTATACATAGCGAGTGTCATTAGCAAACACTGGGATCACTTTTTCCTTTTCATGCTTGAAGTAATTGGAAAGTACTTCCTAACCATTTCTTCTTTAGTAAAGATTTTTTTTTTAAATGTCTAATTCTCCCACAGGTTTGTTTGATTTAGAGATTAAATGAGATTTTTTTTTTAAACATAGCACATAGTACCTGGCTCATAATAAGTGTTTAATAAACATTAGGTCCTTTCTGTTTCCTTTTGTTTTCCAACTTATAATAATACCAAATCAAGGATTTGGACCAAAGAGGATGATGTGGTTCACACCTTCACATGCTTACTCATAGCTGGGTATTTTGGTCACTGCAAGGGAGGTTATTTTTTTTTTTTTTTAATATTTGTTGTTAAAAGTATTGCATTTATCCCCTATTTCCCCTGATTGACCCCATCTAGCCCTTCCCCATCCCCCTTCCCAGGCCTTCATGACCCTATTGTCAGGGTCCGTGAGTTATACATATATATGCATACAAGTTCTTTGGTTGATCTCTTCCCACCCACCCTCACCTTCCCTCTGAAATTCCAGTCTGTTCCATGCTTCTATGTCTCTGGATCTATTTTGTTCATTAGTTTATTTTGTTCATTGGATTCCACATATGAGTGAGATCATGTGATGCTTGTCTTTTTTCAACTGGCTTGTTTTGCTTAACATAATACTCTCTAGGTATTTGGGAGGTTCTTGGAGAAGGGACTTCATGTGACAGAAAAAGTCCCATGAGCCTAAACCGGTTTGGCTCAGTGGAGAGAGCATTGGCCTGCGGACTGAAAGGTTCTGGGTTCGATTCCGGTCAAGGGCATGTACCTGGGTTGCAGGCACATCCCCAGCAGAAGGTGTGCAGGAGGCAGCTGATCGATGATTCTCTCTCATTGGTGTTTCTAACTCTCTATCCCTCTCTCTTCCTCTCTGTAAAAAATCAATAAAATATATTTTTTTAAAAAGAAAAAGTCCCATGAAATGAGCAAACCTTGGAGTCTGAGGCTGACCAGTGTGAGGTTTAAGTGTTAGTATTTAAGAGGGGTGTGCATCCAAGTTTATCTGTCTTGTTTATAAAGAAAACTATCTCAACACATTTCTAGGAATTTAATGGTTATCTTAGAGAAACAGCAGAAATAAAAGTAACTGGAGAGATCAAGAAGTGTTATTTTTGTTTTGGGCCCATATACCCCGGCCACGCATGATGTTCATCTGCAACAATTGCAAGGTGTTCAGGTTCTGTAAGCCCAAGTGTCATAAAAACTTTAAAAAGAAGCTCAATCCTTTCAAGGTCAAGTGGACTAAAGCATTCTGTAAAGCGGTGGATAAAGAGCTTACAGTGGATAATCCATTTGAATTTGAAAAATGTGGAAATGAACCTGTCAAATAGCCATGAGAGCTGTGGAATGAAATGATTACTGCACTGAAGAGAGTCGAAGAGATCAAATAGAGACATCAAGCAACATTTATAAAGAGTAGGTTAAAGAAATATAAAGAACTACAGAGCCGAAACCAGTTTGGCTCAGTGGTAGAGCGTCGGTCTGCGGACTGAAAGGTCCCGGGTTCGATTCCGGCAAGGGCATGTACCTTCGTTGCGGGCACATCCCCGGTAGGGGGTGTGCAAGAGGCAGCTGGTCAATGTTTCTCTCTCATTGACGTTTCTAGCTCTCTATCTCTCTCCCTTCTTCTCTGTAAACTATCAATAAAAATATATATTAAAAAAAAAAAAGAACTACAGAAAGCTCAGGACATCAAGGAAGTCAAGCATAACGAGTATCTCCGCCAGGCCCCGTTTGCATGCAGAGGAAAGCAGCTGGCAGACAAAATGGTACAGAAACTACAAGAGGCTGTGGACATGGCAGTTGTTTCTGGCAGTCTTACTGTTTAACCATTTCTATGAGCACATTGGAGAATCTCCATGGGAGATTTAGAACCTCTAAATTATTGATTTATTTTTTAACATCAGGTGACTCAAATAAAAAGGTGACTTGGATAATGGTATCAAGTAGTCTTTATGTAATAACTGGTGACAAAAATGCATGGCTAGTGATGTTTAAAATAAAATTTTTGAAGTATTTATAATTTATTAACTAAAGAATATGCTTAATCACTGTGCTTACTTCTTATGATTTTTCTAGAAGTCACTCCCAGCTGTTTTCCGGAGAAAGCTAGAATTTCTTTTATTATCAGAAGACCTTCAAGGTAACATTCCAGAGGACATCCTCCAGGTGAGAGAGGGCTTGGGAGCTGTCTGCCCAGAGTCACAGTTACTCGACCAGTTCAGCTTCCAGGGATCCGGCGGAGACAGGTCCCCTAGATGCTGGCTGTGTGCTCTGTTCTCAGGCAAAGCCAGGCTAGATAGAGGCCCCTCTGAGGGGAGTTTAAAATTAGGATAAACTTAACTGATTTTAGAATTCTCAGAGGTGTATTATCCAGAAGTACTAAGTACAACTATGAATTAAAGTGTGTGTTTTTTTCATTTCATGTAAAAGGAATATATAATTTGGATTTAAACTATGTATTGTATTTGACTTTTCTACCAGTATATGGTAAGGAATGTGAAGGGAGACAGAAAATAATTTTTGTTGAATACGTGGTTCTGTAAGAACTACACTGAATGTGTTAGAGTTAACATTGTCTGGGGCTAGATTTAAACTAAGTCTTTTTTTTTTTTTTTTTAGTTTTTGTTTATTGATTTAGAAAGAGAGAAGAAGGGTGAGAGAGAGTAAAAAACATCTATTTGTTGTTCCACTTATTTAGGCATTCATTGGTTGATTTTTGTATGTGCCCTGACCGGGGATTGAACCTACAACCTTGGCATATCAAGATTACACTCTAACCAACTGAGCCACCAGGCCAGGGCTAACCTAAATCTTAACTAGATCTATACTTGAGTGCCTGAGATATGCTCTGAGGCTCAGTACTTACTTTCTTCATCACTCTACCATCAGCTAACAAAGACACATTAGCTGTAGGATTTAAAGTACATGCTTTCACTTATATTAAGTCAAGGACTCATAGTTCTGTTCCCACCTGGAGGCAGTTTAAGAAGAAGCATCCCTGAGCACCATCCATAGGCATGGCATTAAAGCACCCCCTTTTCTCCCTCTGCACCCACCCTGCAAACAAATTATAGGCTATAGCAGGCGTCTTCAAACTACGGCCCGCGGGCCACATGCGGCCTGCAGAGGAGTCTGATCCGGCCCGCCAGGTTTTTTGGGCAGTGAGCGCAGCCGAGGTGTTACAGTAGGAATTAGTAGTTCATATAGTCCGGCCCTCCAGCTCTCTGAGGGACCGTGATCTGGCCCCCACTTTAAAAAGTTTGAGGACGCCTGCTAGAGCAAGCATGTCAAACTTGCCTTTAAGGGCTTAGTCTAGTCAGGGAGGAGGGACTAACAGACACTTGAGACAATTGTAAACCATGTGGTCCTAATTGCGATTACATTGAAAGCCCAATAAAAAGGGAGAGTTGTGTGGGTTGAACATATTGGGACTAGGATTTAGATCAAAGATTTAAAACTGATATGTAATGTTCTTTATTATTTTACTTTTTAAATTGATTTTAGAGAGAAAGGCAGGGAGAGGTAAAAAAGAGAGAGAGATACAGAAAGTGAGAGAGAGAGAGAGAGAGAAACATCAATATGAGAGAAACCTTGATCGTTTGCCTTCAGTATGCACCCTGACTGGAAATCCAAACTGATATCTTTTGGTTCACAAAACGATGCTCCAACCAACAGACACACAGTCCAGGGTGTGTAATGTTCTTTTAAAAATTGAATTGAAATGTCTTGAGTTGGGCATAGTGTCATACACATTTGTTACTTGCTTGGCCTATGAGTTTGTAGTCCCTGATTTAGAGCAACAGTGCACGTTTTGGAGGCAGTAAGGGACAAGTGTGAGCATAGAGGCCTTGGGCAATTGACTTCATCTCTTTGCCTCAGTCTCCTCATTTGTAAAATGGGGATAATAGTAGTGTCTTCCTCTTAAGGTTTATTTTTCTGTGTAAAGGGCCTGACATGTAGTAACTACTGCAGAAGTGTTTGCTACAGCTACTGTTTTATACACACACACACACACACACACACACACACACACACACTGAAAAGAGGAAACATAAAGGCATACAGGTGATCACATTCTAGACATGCTCAGCATGCATCCCTTCTCTTCATCCTCTATTTAGGAGCTGTATGAGGCTTTATCACAAGGCACCGCAGACCCCGTGCTTGACGAAAATCGAAGGCCGGAGAGCTGGACCCTTCGGCTCAGCTCAGAAGCTGTCTCTGTGCTCTTGGGTCTTCTGAGCCAGGCTCCCCAGCCAGCGCAGGCCCTGCTGGACCTTCTGCTTGGGGAAGATGATGGCGCCGGCCCTGGTGGCTGGCCTCTGCAGAAGGCGCTGGTGGACCGCATTCGAAAAGCACTGCGAGCTTTGCAGGACCCCGCCCCTGGGCCCCTGGGGGATGTGGAGGCCATCTACGCAGCCCTGCGGACTCTGCGTTGCCCTGCAGAGCCCCTGGGGGCTGCGCTGCGTCTCCTGTGTGAGGAATTACTGGAGGCCTGCAGGACTGAGGGCAGTCCCCTACAGGAGGAGCGGCTGCTCGGCTGCCTGCTGCACAAGGCTGGACGGGGCCTGCTCGCCCTGTACGGCCAGGCCTATGCAGAGAAGGCCGCAGTGAAGCCACTGAAGGCGGCCTTGTCGGGAGAAGGTGTGTTCCCTTTGCTGCTGCCCCTGTGTGCTGGAAACCCCACTGTGCCCCGCCTCTCTGGCGTTCCCCTCGGCTGGAGCCTTTCCTGTTGCTCAGAGGATCTAATAGGAAAGGCTAAGCGAAAAAGGGGGAGGCATTTTCTTAAAAGCACAGACTTAATAGTCTAGGCTGGAGTGGTGATGGGAAAAAAACAAAGTAATTACAATAGCAGCAAAGAGCTTTTCAGAAGCTACTGAGAGAAGGAAAGGGCCTTTAATATAGAAGTATAGGAAGCCCGGTTTAAGTTTTTAAAAGCATGAACTCTAACAATGGTGTTTCCAATGGGCTTAGGAAAGAAGGGCTCTGGTTCCCCAGTGACCCTGTCTGGTTTGATTTTCAGTCTCACCGGATCATCTAGATCCCGAGCGGGCAATGCTAGCCTTGTTCTCCAATCCCGACTCGGCCGAGGCTTGGAAACTGGCCTATTTCTACTGCCTGAGCAACGGCAAGCACTTCCTCGAGCAGATCCTGGTAGGTCAGACGTAAATGTTTCCCACCACAGAGGTACCCAGGGACTCCACAGGCTTTTTCTTTCCTCATTTCTCTCCCTCTCATTTACCCAGCACAGCAGTCTAGTCAGTGGTGAGCATTGGGTTCTGTCCATCCCACAGTCCCGGGGAAGAAGTCTTCCAGAACCAGCGTCGTTCATAATTAGAGCTGCAGTCATTTTGCAAGCAGTCCTTTGGCAGGAATTACAATGTTGGATTCTTGTAAGCTTTATGGAGGGTGCGAGGAAGAAAAGACAGTGGTAACAGTGTATTGTCTAGCTGACAGGAATTTAATTATGTACTCTAAATTTCTCCCAGATTGCTACTGAGCTTCAGTTTATTCCATTAGTTATTTGTTAACCTCATCCTATGTGCCCTGTACTGTGGAAGTCAGTGCCTGCCTTCAAAGAGCTTATGATCTAGAGGTTTTATGGACTTTTTTTTATTCAAGTGGCTTCTTCTTTCATTGTCAGAAACCTCCCTGCTATGCCTAAAAGCTTCTTCCCCTAATGAGCAGCAAGTCCATGTATCTGTCTACAACAGCCTCCTTTTACTTACAGGTGACAGCACTGACACTGTTGAAAGAGGAAGACTTCCCAAGTCTTGGCTGCTTATTGGATAGAGAATTCCGGCCTCTCAGTCGACTGCTTGTGCTCCTGGGCTGGACACACTGCCAGAGCCTAGCATCAGCCAAGAGGTTGCTGCAGACACTTCACAGGACCCAGGTAACTTGCTCTGCAGCCTGAGCTGCTCAGAAGTGAGTGCTGTGGGACTTTGGGCTGAGGCAGAATGCGAGGTCCTGGGGTTCATTACGGTCTCTGACCCCAGATGCCTGAGTCACCGTCTCTTTCTTCTCTGTCCGTACAGGACCAGGGTGGTGATAAGCTCCTCAGGGATGCCTGCAATGGGCTGTGGGCTCACCTGGAGGTCCTGGAGTGGTGTGTGCAACAGAGCAGGTACAGCCCTGTGTAGTCTTCCCACCATTGGCCACACTTGATCCTGTTTTCTGTGCATGTGACCAATTTCAACACATCTTCCACATAACGATTTGAGTTGACATTGTTGACCAGCAACTCATAATTATTCCAACTATTAATCCAGGAATGAAACATAAGTAATCATTTTCACTATAGCCATAAGGTTATAACTAGAGGATAATTTAAGGATGACATTGATAAAGAACAATACCTCATATTTCCTGAGCACTTATTATATGCAAGGCATAACTCCAAGCTCTTTATGTGGATGATTTCACTTAAGCCTCACAGTACTCCTATGAAGTAGTTACCAATATTATCCTAATTTTAAAGGTGGGCATCTGAAGCCCAGAGGTGACATGCCCAAAGTGACAGTAATGTGGTCCACATTCTTCGCCATGTGTTATCCCGATCACACTTGTATTCAGTAATGTTTCCCTGATAAATTAGCCTCAGGACTTCCCCAGAACTGGGTTCCTTTTCTTCACCTGCTTTCCCCACGCTTCCTGAAGTAGAGTAGGCAGAATGGGAAGTAGTGAGAGACCGTTACTCAGAGGAAAGCGGAGAAGCTGTGCCGCTTCTGAGCTGGGAAGACACAGAAATTGGGAAGCTTACTCTGCAGGTTTTTTTCTGGACCCCTTTGACCAAGAAGGCCCTCTCTAGGGCCTTTCTAGATGAGTAGAGCTGATTTTATGGATGTACTTCCCAGAAACTAAATAAATGCTCTGCTGTATCCCAGACCAACTAAACTGTAGTGTTTGGGTAAGTGAAACCTATGTGTTATGGGCCAGGCAGCAAGAGAAAGAGAGAATCGAGAATGGTCTTTCTCAGAGAAATTTTATAAACTGCCTCTCCTCCCATTCTCCCATCTTTTCCTTCCAGCAGCCCCATACCAAAGAGGGACCTCTTGTGTCATTTACACGGTGGAGACAGCCACTCAGTGCTCTACTCTCTCCATCACCTCACAAACCTTCCAGCCCTCAGGGAGGAAGAAGTTCTCAAGCTCTTACAGAAGGTGCCAGCCAAGGAGCCCCAGCAAGAGCACGGTAAGTTGGTGATGGAGTCACTGGGGCATGGTTTCCTCTTAGGACAATCTTGCCCAGGTTCCTTTCAGTAAAGACTTATCTAGGTATAATCTGTCAAAATGGGCTAGCAGGTGCCTCTAAATTAGTGCTGTTTGTCCCAGTGAGATCATGAGGTGTAGGAATATGCCTCCCCTCTCTGGGTGAGGTATAGGGAACCATATGAGAACAGTTTCATAGGAACCTTGTCCTCTGGAACATCTCAAGAACCATTAGGATACTCTCATGCCAAGAAACAGAATTAGGAACTGCTCTCTGAATTTGCAGCATTATCTCTGGCAATATTTATGCAACTCTTGGTGAGTCTCTCCATTCCTCATACGCTTTCTCACAGCACACGTTGTGTCTACCCTCTTTCCTTCCCATAGCTCCCTCATGCTCTATTGAACACATAAAGCAGTTTAGAAGACTTGCGTGAAACAATAGCAAAGTCTTGTTTTAATCTTAGATCTTTGCTTAAAACTAAAGTCTCCATTAACAAGCTCTTTTGCTCTCAAAAATGTTATCATAGTGTAGACACAACAGGCCTGGGACATTTGGCTTTGAGAGAAACACACCTTCTCATATGGCAGTAGATGTTGCTCAACCTAGAAATCTCTTAGATTGACTTTGAGAAAGGATGTACCACTAACTGGAAAACCCGTGTCACTACATTCTATATTTTTTCCCAGGAAGGTAGGAAACTTGATTAACAAATTTCCTAAAGGAACTGGAACTTTCTGTTTACCTACAAGTACAAAAGGCTTCCAAAGAAGTGGTTTAAATCTGAAACCTGGTGACCCACCATGACACACTTAGACCTTATAAAAGGTGAAAGAGGAGCAATAATAGGACTGGGACCAGGGTGAGGCAAGAGAGGCATCTGGGATATAAAATTTAAGGACCGCTTACTCTCAGGGTTGTGCAGTGCTTGCAAGTCCTGGCCCTGGGCAATAATGCCACGTAGAAGCCAAGGGCGTGGAACAATATTGATCTCATCCTCTTTCTTACCCTGACTTTGGCAAAACTGAGCTTCCTATAAGAAGTAATTACTAAGAAGCCTATACATAGGGATTTATTGCACCATCCTAATAGCAAAGCATTCCTAACTGCTGCAGTGCCCTGCCTCAGTAGAACTATATGCAGCCATCAGAAATGCAGTGTATGAAGAAGCATAATCAAATGCTTATACTATCATTTATTTTTAAGAAGTAGGAAAGTTAAATAGTATAGAAAATGTCATTATACACAACATACATACGTATATGCTAAATTATCAGAGGTGTTAAAACAGACTGTTAATGGTTGTGTTTAGCTGGTAATAAAATGAATGATATTTTCTTCTTTTTCGCTTTGCTACATTTAATGCCTTTTCTTTGAGAAAGTTGTACTTTTACTATAAAAGGGATTCAAGCCAGATTAAGATGTTTAGAGACCATAAAAGATTATGATACCCTCTTCTCAATTTTTTTAAATGAGAAATTATAAATTATTAAACAAGTATGAGGAATACAACAACATTGTGTTTTTTCCCCATGATGTCTGCTTCAGTGCTTTAGTAAAATATCATTTTTCCCTGGCCAGCGTGGCTTAGTGGTTGAGCATCGACCTATGAACCAGTTCACAGTTCAGTTCCCGGTTGCAGGCTTGATTTCCAGTAGGGGGCGTGCAGGAGGCAGCCAGTCAATGATTCTCTCTTATCATTGATGTTTCTGTCTCTCCCTCTCCCTTCCTCACTGAAATCAATAAAATATGTATTTTTTAAAAGTATATCAATTTTTCCCCCCAAAAAAATGTGTTGCCTTTGCTCTCATTACTCAATCTATACAAATTTTAAGCCTCCATCTTGAATAATGTGGCACTAAATAGACTAAATATTTTTTCCTTTTAACCCCCCCATTCCTCCTCTAAACATTTACTTTAAGTTTTAATTTTTTTAAAAAGAAGAAACAAAATGTTAAGAAATATAAGGAAAAGACTTGTTAAATAGCCATGAGGGCTGCGTTAGAGACATGTAGAGGGAGGCCGGTGGGAAAAAGGAAATGGAGAGGACTGAAAGCTGATGCTGTGGAGGAAAAGGCCTGGGAGGGACAAGAATCAAACTGGTGGAAAGGAGAGAGCAATGCAGCGTCTCTATTCTGGCTGTGCTTGCTGCGTCCTCAAAGAACCAGCTCTGAAGTGCTGCCTGTTCCTCTCTCCCACTCAGATTCAGCGGGTGCTCCAGGCCTTGAGCACCTGAGCCAGTGCCAGAACCTGACACTCTACCGGAGCTTTTGTGCCATGAAGTATGCCATCTATGCCCTGTGTGTGAACTCACACCAGCACACCCAGTGCCAGGAATGCAAAGACAGTCTCTCAGAAGACCTGGCTGTGGCTGCAGAGCCAGTGAATGATTCTGTCTCCTCAGGTACAGAAACCCCTCCCCCAAGCCCTGATGCAACCTGTTCCACAGAGTTCTTTATGTGGGAACCCTTTCCCACCAGGATGGAGGAGGTGGCCCTTGGTTTTATTATGCCCAGGAATAATTTCATCTATTAATCAGCCTTCGTTAATCCAAGAGACATGGAGAAAGCAAGTGATTTGCATAAGTTCTAATGGAGTCTGATCACCTGGTGCGTTGTTTTCCAAATGCTCCCCCTCTGCCCCCATAATCTGCAATAAAAATAGCATTTCACATCATACTTCAGTTTGCACCTAGGTATTAATTTGTATGTGTATATGTGTAGATGAGTGATATACAAACTAAACTTTTGAGAAATGATATATTTACCCTTCCAAACAGAGCACACTCTTTTTTTTTTCTTTTCTTTTTTTTTCAGAGCACACTCTTGATTATTTTTCTGTTTTATGATATATTTTTTTAAATGCAGCCTCTAAGTCAGGGGTGGGGAATGTCCAGCCCACGGGCTGTATAAGGCTCACAAAATCATTTGTCTGGCCCTGCCAAGGCATTGGCGGTGAGTTAATTAAATGTTTGACTGAATATAGCAGGCAGGTTTTTAAGCTGATAAATTTGTATGGCCCACAAGTGATGTTATAAATATCCAATTGGCCCTTGGCAGAAAAAAGGGCCAATCCCCATCCCTGCTCTAAGTCAGTGTCATGGATCGCAGCTACAATGTGAAAGAACCTATTTCCTATCCTCTCTCATTTTTCTTAATAACTTAACATTTAACTTGCCTTGTGTGACTGCTGGTCAGTTCTCTCTCTCTTGTAGCTTTAGGATGGACCTTCTCCTCTGAGCATGGTCATTTTTGACCAGAGTGTATTTTTCTTAAGCGATCTAGATAGCCCTTGATCTTCTTCAGTGTAGCAATGAGTGAAAATAGAATTGAGGAGTAAGGAGCCTGTATGCTGGAGTGCTTGTGAGAGATGAAGAGTAATGAAATATTTAAAAAGCAGAAACAAAATAACAAGTGTTCAGTGAGCTGTACTTCTAACTAACGTACAAACTCTGCAATTCATGAAAAGACGTTGATGAGTCTCTTATTCTTCTGACTGTAACTGCAATTTCTTTAGTCATTAAAACCTAAAAAATGAATTAAAGTTGTGTGAATGTTTGAGTCTGGCAAGTACTGTGTCTAATGTCTGCTCTTTCTCTGCCCTCTTCTCTGATACATGCTACTTTAGGTGCTTCAAATCTCTTCTCAACATACCTGGCCAGGTGTCAGCAGTATCTGTGCCGCGTTCCTGACTCTCTGCGCCTGGAACTTCTAGAAAACATCTTCTCGTTGCTCCTCGTCACCTCTGCCGATCTTCACCCAGAGCCTCACCTGCCCGAGGACTATGCTGAGGAGGATGACATTGAGGGGAAGGACCCGTCAGGTTTGAGGTCCCCACCAGAGAGCCCTCAGCACATTGCACAGCCTGAAAGGAAGTCAGAACGGGGTTCCCTGGGAGTTGCCAGGAGCCTTGCTGATACACTTCCAAGCTGTCTGAAGACAGAGCCGAAAGACAGTTCCGCAGAGCCCCACGGGCACAGCTTTTTGGACCTCGAGCACCTTACCAGTGGTGTCAGCGGGTTCCTGGCTGATGAGTTTGCAATGGGGGCCTTCCTCAGGCTCCTCCAGGACCAGCTGGAGGAGCTCAGCAGCCACAGTCCACCTGAGGACCCAACGCTGCCGGAAGGCCAGAACTGCCCGGAGAGCAGACCTGGACCGCAGAGCCGCCTGCACCGGTTTTCCAAGGTTCTCTCTGAGGCCCAGTGGAGATACAAGGTGGTAACAAGCAACCAGAGCTCAGGTGAGAGCAGGCAGTAGAACCAGAGGTCCAGAAAATGAGGAGGAAGAAAACCCCAGGAATGTGGGAGAGAACGAGGAGGAGTGCATGGGAGTCACGCCATAACTCAAGGCATATACCATAGCAACTAGTATCAGAACCATGCCTCCGAGCCTAGTCCAAATCTTCCCCTACCTATTACCCCGTGAGGTGGGTCAAAGCAAAATTGATCTCTCTGCCGCCTTACCCATTGGGTTTGCTGTTTCAGAGGAGCAACCTTTCCGAAGATACCGGCCCATCGCCACACGGCACCCTACTCTCCGCCGGGGTCGTCGGACACGAAGGAGCCGGGCAGGTAATTGATGAGCTCTCCTCATGCCTTATTCCCATGCACCAGGCAAGTGGCACGCTGCCTCTTGTCTAATATTCTATAAGGTAAAGCCCATGGTACACACACACAAAAAGTGACCTACGCTTTATCCTAGTCCCACTCCACCAAGGTAACAGTTGCTAATAGTTTCCTTCAAGAAAATTTCCAGATAGTACAAGTATATTTATCATTTCATGTATTCATATGTGTCATTGAGAACTAACTTTTTTCACTGATGTCCTTTTATATGTTTCATACTGTATATTGACAACTGACTTTTTTCACTTTTTTAAAAGCTGCTTAATATTCCATTGTCATATTTACCCTTTTGTGGGCACTTAAGTTGTTTCCAATTTTTTTACTATTATAAACAATGCTACAGTAAACAACCCTGTACATATGTCTGTGCATACTTGTGTGAGGATAGCTATAGGATAAGACTCTAGCAGTTGAATAGCAAAAATCAAAGATATGTGGAGATAAAGATATCACCAAATTGCCTTTAAAAAAAAGATGGGCCAGTTCATATTCCCACCAAATGTATATGAGTACCTGCTTGCATACATATTCATTAAAAATTAGTAGTATCAGATTTTTTCAAATCTGGGCCAATATAATTAATATAGCAATGTTTATCATTGTTTTAATGTTAGTTTTTAGTTTAAGGTTGAATGTCTTTTATATATTTATTGGCCATTTATATTTTTCTCTGAGCTGCCTATTCAAGTCTGAGGTCCATATTTTCTGTTGAGTTTATCTTTCTTATTGACTTGTAAGAAGCTTTTTATACATTATGGGTAATATTCTGTCATTATATGCTAATATTTTCCCCTTCATTTTGTCTTTTGAATTTGAATTTTTCTTACAGAATTTTATACAGGACCATTATACAGGTGTGTTAAATTTTTAAATAATAGAACTTCCATTATGATTTTTGGTGCTTGTTTTTAAATAATTAATGGAATTCATAAGAGTTTCCTATGTGCTAAATAACACGAGGTATCTTGACGGAGGTGAATGAGGCTTACATCAGGACTTTGCCTTCAAAGGATTGATAATGTACCTGCCCAGACTTATACAGGAAACACTTCAACTGCACGGAGGCACTGCTGAAAACATAAGTTTTGTCTAGGAGAGATCAGCATAGCCTACAGGAATCAGGGAAACAGGTTTTATGGAAAACTTGGCTCCTGAACCAAGCTCAGAATGAGAAGGCTTCAGCACTGGCAATGAGAAAAGTCAACGTAGTGGGTAGAATGGAGGCTATTATGAGAGAAATCTGGAAAACCTCAAGGCTGAGTTGCTAAGACCCTTAAGCTGCTCAGTTAATTGGTTTGAGTGAAAGGCTTGCATCCATTGGACCAAATCACCCCAAGAATGCACACGCCATCTTTCCTACAGCTGTGTGTCCTTTCCTAATGTGAGCCAAGCAGACTCCCCTGCGTAGGGCTGCTATTAGCCTGGAGTGACCACCCTAGGAAGAGTGAGCCTCCATGCGCTGTGAAGAGCCGGCTTAAGAAGGAGCCTTTCCCTGAGGGCACTAAACAATGTCGTTATTAGCATGAGAACAACTTTTGCAATGTCAGAAAAACTTGTGCCCTCCTTTGCACCCTCCTACCTTCTAGTCATAATCGTTGTGCTTTTTCTTTTCCTTCGGAATATTGACAGTGCTTAGTGAGCAGACAGGTCGCTGATCCCTAGAAGTTACTTGAAAGCCCTGGGGCTCTGAGAGACCCACAGGTTGGAACCACTGGTACAAGCTGCTACCCAGTGAGCATTGGCGCCATATTAAGCCCACCTTTCACCTTTGGTCTGTAGGAACTTGCATTTTGCTGTAGAAGAAGCAGTAGATATAGTAGTTAGCCATTACCCTTTCACTCTAACTACCCAGATCTTGATTTTCAAGCCAACTTCTCACTTTCTACATTTTAAGGAGTTGGTCGTTGATTTTCTCTCTCCTTCCTGTCACCCCTAGATGGCCGGGACAGAAGTTTCAATCCATCCCTGGAAAGTACAAGTAGTGAGCTGAGCACAAGTACTTCAGGTATGGGGGTCCCAACCAGTTGCCAACTTCAAACAGCTTTGCCCTGATACGGAGTTGCCACACACCCTGGTATAGAAACCTGGACTGAGCAGTGCTTTTTTTTTTTTTTTTTTTTTTTAATCCTCATCCAAAGATATTTTTTCATTGACTTTTCTAGAGAGAATAGAAGAGAGAGGGAAAGACAGAGAGAAACTTCAATGTGAGAAAAACACATTGATTGGTTGCCTCCTGCACCAGCCCCAACCAGAGCCCAATCTGGGGAGGAGTCTGCAACCAAGGTACATGCCCTTGATTGGAATTGAACCGAGACCCTTCGATCTGCAAGCTGATGCTCAATCCACTAAACCAACCCAGCTAGGGTGCAGTTAAGTCCTGGGGATGTAGCATACAGCGTGGAGACTATAGTTAACTGTACTGTATTGTGTGTTTAAAAGTTGCTAAGAGTAGATTTTAAAAGTCTCAAGAAAATTTGCAACCATCTGTGATGATGAAAACTAAACTTTGGTGATCATTTCACAATATATTAAATCATTATGTTGTATACCTAAAACTAATACAATGTTCTATGTCAATTATATATCAATTTTTTTAAAAAAGAAGTTTGGTTCTGCCCATGGCCAAACAGATTTCAGTAGGGAAAGGGCTGTTTGGATATCAGTCAAGTTACCCATTAGCAGAGAGAAACAGAGGTGATTACCTAAGAATGTACTTAAGATTTATATTCAAACATGATAATATAAGTTTGCCCTTCAATTGAGGGAAAACTAATACCCACTTACACACCTTTTAAAAAAGAAATTTTTTTGAAGATAGTTTGGTGGGAGGTTACAGCAGTATAGTTTTTCCTCAATTTCTATTGCTTCCTTGGCCCCCACATTCCAACAGAGGGAAGTCTGAGCATCGTGTCTGGAAGGAATGAGTTGGATGGCCTGTTGCAGCCCCAAACTCAAAGTTCATTCATCCCCATGATGTTCTCCCCACCTGAGTCGCTGCTGGCATCCTGCATCCTCCGGGGGAACTTTGCAGAAGCCCATCAGGTAAGGGGCTGGGCAGCTGGTGTTAGTAGCCTGGGCCTCTCCTTGTCATAGTAAAGAATGTGAAGTCCACGTTTAGCCATCTGGAACCTGCTGGGCCTCAGGCAAAGCTGGACATCTGTGCAACCAGAGCCACTTGGGAGCATTTGAGGGGCCACATCCAGCAGGAGAAACAGGAGAGTTTCCATGTACAAGGCCCAGTCCCCAGCAGTGTAGATTTCAAGACCCAGATCGGAGGAGGTTTAAGCTGCCGAATCATTGGTTTTAACATAAAGTGTTTAACAAGATAAAATATTTACCAACAAGCTCACCATTTCAAAACATGGAAATATTTTTGTTTCTTTTAAGCTTTCTCTGAACACATACATTTTTTAATAGTTAAAAGTCATGATGCAAACAGTGTTTAATAAGAAATAGAATTTCGGCCTAACCGATTTGGCTCAGTGGTTAAAGCATCTGCCTGGGGACTGAAGGGTCCCAGGTTCGATTCTGGTCAAGGACATGTACCTTGGTGCGGGCACATCCCCAGTAGGGTGTATGAAGGAGGCAAAGGGCTATTTGTTTCTCTCTCATCGATGTTTCTGACTCTCTATCCTTCTCCCTTCCTTTCTGTAAAAAAAATCAATAAAAACTATTTAAAAGAGAGAGAGAGAGAGAGAGAATGCCAGTTCAATATACAATTGTAGGGGCTACCTAAAATGTTCATGTTTGTTGAGGGATGAGCGCAAGAAGAAATCAAAAAGACTTGCCCTCCTGCCCTCCCTGAGCTTCTTTATCCTCATTTAAAAACTCAGAGTTATCCCTGACTGGTTTGGCTTCAGACTGAAGGGTCCTGGGTTTGATTCTGGTCAAGGGCACATGCCTGGGTTGTGGGTTCGATCTCCAGTGGGGACGTACAGGAGGCAGCATATCAATGATTCTCTCACATCATTGATGTTTCTATCTCTCTCCTCTCTGAAACCAATAAAAAAAATTAAAAAATAAATAAAAAATAAAAAAAACACCTCAGAGTTAAATATAATGCCTGTTTGTCCTACCTCGTGGAGTTGTTAAGAGGATTCTGTACAAGCTATGAGAAATGTAAGAATCCTCTGCTATTGTTTAAATTTAATATCATGAAAACCTACTTTTCTAATTTTTAAAATTTCGTTAGTATATTTATCTCACTGTGCTCCATCCTTAACATGCAGGTTAGATTTTTTTTTTTTCATTTTAGTTCATTTGTTGAAGAATAAATCAAGGATAAAATCTAGGCAATAGAAGAATTTTTGCTTAGCCTCCTCTGGTCATTTTAGGTTCCATACTTTAATGATAATGGTAATTCTGACCCTCTAGGAAGAATAGGACCTTCACCAGCCTTAGTTACAACCAAATATGGAGTTAAGTCAACTGTGAGCCCCTGATCTTTTACCCCTAAATGTCTTCACTTCCGTTTCCTTTCCTAGACCCTTGATTTTTTTTTTTTTTTAATGAAAGTCACCTTTTTAAAAAACATATATATTTATTGATTTCAGAGAGAAAGTGAGAGGGAGAGAGAGATAGAAACATCAGTGATGGGGGAGAATCATTGATTGGCTGCCTCCTGCACACCCCCTACTGGAGAGAGAGCCCACAACCCCGCATGTGCCTTTAACCAGAATTGAACCTGGGACCCTTCAGTCCACAGGCTGAAGCTCTATCCACTGAGCCAAACCAGCTAGGGCTTGATTTATTTATTTTTTTTAATAAAAGCTTTATTTTTTTAACCTGGTTACAGAATAAGTCATGCATATTACAAGTAAATACCAAAAGTACTAACAAGAAAATAATATTACTTGTAACCCTATTGTCCAGAACCAGTATTAAAGGTAAAGCATATACTCTTTGCCATTATTTTTCCAAGATCCATGTGACTTTTATATAACCAAGATTATGTGGAATTTAAAACTTTATGTAATGCCTTCTTAACATTTGCCTTGTACCTGATTTAATGACTCTACAGTAGTTTGATCAGCCAGCTGCATTTGACCATTCTCCTGTTACTCAGCACTTAGATTATTTTCCACCTTGTAATAAATAGTGCCAGGATTATCGCCTATAGGCATTAAGCCTTTTGAATTGTTTCCTTAAGAAAGTTTCTCATGAAAATTACTGAGTCAAAGAATATAAACGTTTTTAAATCTTTATGGATTGCCAAATTGCTTTTCAAAAAAGGTTGTGACAGTTCAATTTAACCACCACCCCCTGAGGGCTTATTTTTATGCTTTGTCATTGTGATAGATGCAAAATGGTATTCATGTGACTGAAATTCCCTAGATTACTTAAAGGGATAACATTTTTCATCTATGTATTAGTCATTCATTTTCTCTGGCATTGTCCACATCTTCTGCTGTGGTGGTTTTCATGCTGGCTTGGATAAGTAATTTCTATATTTGATCTACTCTTCTAACATGCAGTGCTCCTCCCACCCTACAAAGCGGATGTTTTAGGGCCATAGTTTAATGATAAGCAAGATCTCGTATCTCTAGCCATGAGCCCACCACAGCCACACTCCTGTCTGCTTGTACCAGGTGGTGTTCATGTTTGACCTGAAGTCCTCGCCCAGCTCAGGGGAGCTGATGTTCGTGGAGCGCTATCAGGAGGTGATCCAGGAGCTGGCCCGTGTCGAGCACAAGATTGAGAACCAGAACTCAGACGGGGGTAGCAGCACCATTCGAAGAACTGGCAGTGGCCGCTCAACTCTACAGGCCATTGGCAGCGCTGCGGCGGCAGGTCAGGCTGCCCCGTTGCTCCCACAGGTGGTGGGGTAGCTGGGGAAGGAGGGTCTCAGGGGAAAAGCCCCCCAAAGGATAGGCTCATCCTCAGGAGGTGAGCAGAAATCCAGGGCAGGACACTTGCCTTGAAGAACAGCATATTGAGAGTCGGTTTTTAGCTTTGCCCAACTTCCCTGACTGTGGTGGTCACGTACCTACCACTTGAGCTACTCCATTAAGCTTGTCTTGTGTGACTAACACTGAAGAGTGGAATGCTCTTTTCACCATGTGTTTTCATGGTCACTATCTTGTGCTTTGGGAAATGGTTAGGAGTTTATTTCCTTCCATGTAAATATTCAGGATAAAGCATATTATTTTATTTTTCCGTAAAGTGAAAAAGTTGTGTTTAATTCATGGCCTGCAATTCACAGGTCTCAAGTCTCAGCTTTGGCTGCACTGCAAAAACTGATCCTTTTATTATTTCTTTTTTTCCCACTGTGCAACCTGCTTCAGTGCCTGTAGTCAGCCCACAGGCAGAGGCCAGGCAATGGTTCAAGGCCACAGTTTGCTCTGTCTGGGACACTATGAGAGCCAGGGTATGGGCCTGCCATTTTCTTAAAACCTATGCATTTTCTTAAAAGTGGGATCTTGAACCACGTTTTCACATTATCTTACTAGACTAGGCTCTGTGTACCAGGTAGCATCCCATGTTACTCCTTCTCTGTTCTCCCAGAATTTTCAATTGCTATTCAAAAATACATATGCACTTTTTGCCATTTAATATAAATGGGCTTTTACAGCAAGTACTGTTGTCTACCTTGCTTTTTCACAGCATATGTTAGAGATATTTTCTGATAAGCACACAGATCCATCTCACTCTTTCTCAACCTACTTTTAGATCCCATTTGGAAGAAGCCCTCACTCATCTCGTCCATTTTGGTTTCTCCTGGTCTTTCTTTCCCTGCCATAGTTTTGATGCCATAAGAATGGGTTGCAATGATGATACTAATATCATCATTAGAAGATGTCCTGTGCAGAAGGACCAAATTAGACGAATAGAATAGAAGTTGCATATAGAATCATTGTAACCTTACTTTCTGCTCCACTGTTGGTGTCCAGGGATGGTATTTTATTCCATCTCGGACGTGACCGACAAGCTGCTCAGCTCCTCTGGAGACCCCATCCCCACCCTCCAGGAGGACTTCTGGATAAGCAGCACCCTGCTGGAGCCCACTGACCCCCTCAGAGAGGTTCTGGAAGAGCTCAGTCCCCCCGCCATGGCTGCGTTCGACCTTGCTTGCTCTCAGTGCCAGCTCTGGAAAACCTGCAAGCAGCTCTTGGAAACAGCTGAGCGACGTCTGAACAGCAGCCTTGAGAGCCGGGGTGAGTGCTTCAGCTTTAGTCCTTCCTTCTCCAATGGATTTCTGAGACACTTGAGAAAATGTGCAAGAAGAAAGTACTTACCAGCGGATGAGGGGCAGGGAGAGCGGATTAGTTCATTTCCTCGTGTGCATCCTGGTGGCATAAATATAGTCTGTTGAGAACCATACCTTCTTACTAGACATAGCATTCTGCTGTCACCCAAAATGGCACAGCATCTATTTCCTCCTTAATATTGGTGCAGATAAAATTGCACAAGTAAGCCCAGGACTGAGAAGCAATCTCTGAGAGTGCCTTATTTTTTCTGCACTCCCTCTTCCTCCATCTGTTCCCAGGTCGGCAGCTAGACAATGTCCTCCCCAGTGCTGATGGCATTCGGGGTTTTCCAGGTGTTCTTCAGCAAATCAGCAAGATTCTCAATTATTCACTTTTGTCAGCTGGACAAACTAAATCAGGTGAGTTGCTTTTCTCTCTCTTTTTTTTTTCTCCTGGACTCAGAACACTAGGTCAACACCAACCTTGCTTTTCCTTTCTTGTTTGCTTTCCGTAGACAGTGTAGAAGAGAAAGGAGGAGGCCTTGCACGGTGCAGCATCGCTGAGCTGCTTCAGACCTCCTGGCCCAGCCTCACTGAGGACTGCGCCGCCAGCCATGCCGCCCTCTCCCAGCAGCTGGACCAGATCCTTCAGTCGCTGAGGGAGGCACTGGAGCTGCCAGGTACTGGTCCCAGTGTGGGAGCAGATGAGGACTGAACTCGGGAGAGGAAATTGGAGCAGAGTCTTAGGACTTCAGCAGTGACCCCTATTGGCCCTCCAGTTAGCCACTGCATGTCTCACAGCTAACTCCTCTGTTCCCCTGCCTCTCAAGTGAAGGGATGGTTAGCACTCATTAGCTGATACATCTTCCTTATCCCTGAGGAGCAATATACCCCAAAGTTACTCAGGAAATATTGATTAACTCTTCCCCAAAAGCCATTCCAGCCCCAGAGTCACAGGGGTAAGCACAGAACCATTCACCCTGATTTCTCCCAACTCAAAGCTCTTACTGGCTGGGAATCAACTTGGAAGTTTGTAGCTGCCTTCTAAGTGTAGTGCCCGGGCTATGGGAAGCCCCATGCAGTGGACGGAAGCCCAGTTCACATAAATGTGTTGGAAATTGACCCAAAGCTGAAAGCACACACTAAAGCCTCCATCCTTTCCACCATTCCTGCTCTCAGAGCCCAGGAGTTCTCCGCTCTCGTCCCTGGTGGAACAGGCGGCCCAGAAAACTCCAGAGGCAGAGGCCCACCCTGTGCACATCCAGACTGAGCTCCTTCAGAAGACCCTGGGCAGACAGGCCCCCGTGGGCAGCGGGCAGACTGACTACATGGGCACCTTCTCCAGTTACTGCAGCACCTTGGCTGCAGTTCTCGTTCAGAGTTTGCGCTCTGAGTCTGGTAAGTAGCAAGAAGGAGGAAAGAAGAGTCATGAGTGGTCTGCAATGTTTAGAACAAAGAAGAGGAAAGATTTAGTTAAGAGGTTCTGGGCACAGCAGTAGCCAAGGACACTCGATTCATAAGGTCTTCTTAGTCTTTAGTGTTTTATTCACCTTCGTCTCCCCAATACCTAGGATAGTTGTGCAGCACAGGAAGTGCTCAGTAAACTTTGACAGCTTTAATGCCTCATAGAGACCTTAGACCTTCAGCCCATCATGGGCGTGAGGACCCAGAGGAGAAACCCAGTCTCTGAGATGAGTGCCAGATTCCTACTTGCCTCTGCAGAGTGAGGGTTGCATGCACTCCAGTCACGTTGGATGAGCAGGATGAGCTCACTGCTTTTTTATTGTTTCTGGAAAACAGGGCTCTGAACTCTGCAGCGAGTGGTCACTTTCTTTACCTTTGCAGATCACGTGGAGGTCAGAGTTGGAAATCCCTTTGTTCTCCTGCAACAAAGCTCTTCCCAGCTGGTGTCACACCTCCTGCTTGAGCGACAAGTTCCGCCAGACAGGTAGGAGCTACTCCCTGGCAGTTGAGCATGTGCCTGCCCAACTGCCTTTCATCAAAGACACTGAGGGCTTCGTGGGGCGGTGCCTGGGTTTGGTATAGGGAGTGAAGTTACTTCTAGACTTTGCCCTTGATTTGCATTTATTCTTATACAGCTACATTGAAATTCCTTTCTTTCTCTCTTGCCACCACTAAAATTTACATCGCAAATATAAAATTAAAGGAAGAATCTTCACTTAGAAATAGGCAAAAGTCTAAAAGTTTGATAACACATTAGTTGGCTAGCCTATAGAAAAACAAGCATCTCCCCGAAACCGGTTTGGCTCAGTGGTAGAGCGTCAGTCTGCGGACTGAAAGGTCCCAGGTTCAATTCCTGTCAGGGACATGTACGTTGGTTGCGGGCACATCCCCGGTGGGGGGTGTGCAGGAGGCAGCTGGTCAGTGTTTCTCTCTCATCAATGTTTCTAGCTCTCTATCTCTCTCCCTTCCTCTCTGTAAAAAATCAATAAAAATATATTAAAAAAAGAAAAGAAAGAAAGAAAAACAAGCATCTCATGTGTCAATGGGACATAAATTTCCACAAGCCCCTATGTGAAGGCAGTTTGTCCATATCTACTAAAATTACAAATTCATTTATCCTTTGACCTAAAAATGCATGTTGGGGAGTTTATCCTGTGGCTTTATTATACATATGGAAAATGATGTCTCTAACAGCCTTATATCTAACTAGAGGCGTGGTGCACAAAATTCGTGCAGAGGGGTGGTGGTGTCTAATAGACAACCTTTTGTGTGTAAAAGAAGAGGGGAGACCATTAAAGAGCTTGCGTGTACATTTGCTCGTGTGAACATAAAAAAGTCAGAGATTAGGTGATTGTGCCTATGCACTCAGGCTTTGCGTTCCCTCTGCTTCTCTCCCTCCAGGCTCGCAGCCCTTCTGGCCCGAGAGGAACTCAGCCTGAGTGTGCCTCAGGTCATCGTCAACTGCTGCTGTGAGCCCCTTGCCCTTTGCCCTTCCCTGCAGAGCCAACAGATGTCATCTCTCCTGACCCACCTGGGCATCCTGGCCCAGCTGCACTCCTCTCACTGCCTGGAGGACCTCCCTCTTTCTGCAGAGAGCTCCCCAAAGCCTACTGAGAACCCCACATCAGAGAAAAAGCCCAGCTCCTCCTCAAAGGATTCATCACCCTCAGCCCTCACCTCCTCTGCCTTGGCCTTCCTTAAATCCCGCTCTAAGCTGCTGGCTACAGTGGCCTGTCTGGGGGCTTCCCGGGGACCAAAGGTCACCAAGCCCAGCTTATGGAAGGAGCTTCGTGGCCGCAGGGAGGTACCCCTCACTGCAGAACAGGTAGCCCGGGAGTGTGTTCGCCTTCTGGAACAGTTTCCTATGCTGGAGGCCTCACTCCTGGCCGCCTGGGAGCCCCTTCAAGGGTCCTCCAAGCAGGAGCAGAGTCTGGCAGCTAGTCTCTGTGGCCAGGCCAGTCTCTCCACCGTCCTCCTGGGCCTGCATTCTCCTGTTGCCCTGGATGTGCTCACTGAGGCCTTCAAGGAAGCCCTGGAGGCCAGAGATTGGCCCCGGGCCCTGCAGCTCACTGACGTGTACGGTCGAGACATGGACGACTGGAGCAGCATCCGGGATGCAGTCCTGAGCTGTGCTGTGGCAAGTGGTGAGCAGAAAGCTACATCTCTCTCCCTCACTCCTGCTCATAACATTTAGCATCCACTGAGTGTATCATCACATTTGATCCTCACGGTAACTCTAGAGGAAGATGCCACCGAAAGGATAGGAAACTTGCCCAGGATAGTAAGTGGTGGAGCAGCGCTTATAACCTAAGGATTCATCACCCTCTGCCCTCACCTCTGCCTTGGCCTTCCTTAAATCCCGCTCTAACCCTAAAACACATATTCATAACCAATATTCTCAACCCTGTATATCAGAATCATTGGAAAATTCAATAAACCACAAATATCTGAGCTCCATCCCCAGAAGCCTGGGATGGAATTAGGTAAATATTTACTTTAAAATGAGGATCAGCAAATATATTTTATTTATTTATTTTTTTAATATGTTTTATGGATTTTTTACAGAGAGGAAGGGAGAGGGACAGAGAGCTAGAAACATCGGTGAGAGAGAAACATCAACCAGCTGCCTCCTACACACCCCCCACTGGGGATGTGCCTACAAACAAAGGCACATGCCCTTGACCGGAATCAAACCTGGGACCTTTCAGTCCGCAGGCCGATGCTCCATCCACTGAACCAAACCTGTCTCGGCTATTTTATTTTTTTAATATATTCTTATTGATTTCAGAGAGGAAAGGAGAGGGAGAGAGAGACAGAAACATCAATGATAAGAGAGAATCATTGATTGGCTGCCTCCTATTATACATGTCTCCCACTGGGGATCGAGCTTGAAAACCTAAGCATATGCCCTGATCGGGAATGGAACCATGACCTCCTGGTTCATAGTTCAGTGCTCAACCACTGAACCACACTGGCCAAACAAATTTTTTCTTTTAAGGGCTTTGAAATCCATAAAGTCTCACTTGAAACTATACTCAACTCTTCCATTGTAACATGAATGAAAGCAGCCATAGAAGATATAGAAACAAACGGGCATGGCTATTTCTTAGTTAAACAATTTATAAAAACAGCCCCTGGGCCTGCCTGACACACCCCTACTTGAAAAGCTCCCCAGGAGATTTTGATGTGTGACCAGAGTTGAGAGCCAATGACCTACAACACTTCACTTGGGGGAGCAAGATCATGTAGAGTAGTGAATGGTTTCTGGGTAGAGGGCCTGACTTCCCTGTGGAAAGAAGAAAATCCATCCTGAGAAGGGGGCAGAAATCCCCTGAGTGAATGGTTAGGCAGTTTTCTCCACTTGGAGTCTGTATTTCAGCTCTGAAATGGGTGGGAGGAAGAGAGAGATCTACTGCTAATGACAGAGGATACTGAGGGAGTGAAACTAGTTTACCTGAAATAATGTTCAGGTTGTTATGTGTGGCGCAGAGTGGAAATTGCAGGGAAAACTAAAAGTTGCACTGACTCGTTGAGTCTGAAATACTGCTATATGTGCAGCACGCCAGAAGATGGAGAGCTTCATCTGTTCTATCTCTCCTCTCTTCGTATTCCCTTTCTTTCTCCCTATTCTTCCTCTCTTTTTCTCCTTCTCTTCCTCTCTCTTCAAAAAGTCTCACTTCTAAGTTTGCATAAAGAGAAACAGAGGGTATAACATTTCTCCTTGCCATGTCGTAGTGCCTCCAAGTGTCAAAACTAGTTAAGGTCAGGTGGATCTTAAAGATCCTCCAAACTCCCGTTTCCTGAAATTGAACAAGGCCCTCTCTTAAGAAGTGACCTAGCATGGTCAGTGTGGGTTAGTTGGATACGTGTCATCCCTGCACCGAAAGGTTGTTGGTTTGATTCCTGGTCAGGGCACATGCCCAGGTTGTGGTCTCAGTCCCCAGTGGGGGGCTGCAGAGGCAGCAATCGATGTTTTGCTTTCACATCAATGACTCTCTTCCTCTCCCTTCCTCTCTCTCTAAAAGTCAATAAAAATATTAAGTAAATTAAAAAGTAGCCTGGACTCTGGAGCTCTTCTGGTGCCAGACTTGCTGCCTCTGGGCATCTTTTTGTCTTGCAGACCAAGAAGGTTGGCAGTACCTGTTTCCTGTGAAGGATGCATCTCTGAGAAGCCAGCTAACCCTAAAGTCTGTGGACAGGTGGCCCCTGGAGTCGTGCCTGGAGATCCTGGCCTACTGCATTTCAGACACAGCTGTCCAAGCTGAACTAAGGTGCGAACTACGGAGAAAGCTGGCGGAGCTGCAGATGTATCAGAAGGTATGGAACCTGGCATCAAGAGAAAGGAACTGGGTTTCTCACTTTGTTACCAACTGTATCTATTCTATTCTCCTGTGATGGTGGATTCTAAGAAACAAAATCTAGGCCTGGCTTAGGTTTTTTTTTTGCTTTGCATCTGGCTACTGTTCTTACGTGAACAATGAGGAGGCCTCCTGTCTGGTTTTTATTTTATTTACTCCTATAATTTTAACATTGGATGATGCTTTATAGTCCACAAAGCCTTTTCTCATATACAGGGTGGGGCAGAAGTAGATTTACAGTTTTGAACACATGAAACACAGAGTTTATTTATGTATTATTATTATTATTATTTATTAATTAGAGGCCCAGCACACGAAATTATGCATGGGTAGCATCCCTAGCCCTGGCCTGCAATGAGGAACAGTCTTCCCTGGCTGCCACAGCAGACCCTACCCCTCGCCACCACAGCCAGTTGCCTTCTGTGTGCGGAGCGCCTGGCAGGGTCCCTGGCACCACCCTCATCCACCACCACCCACCCCCGGTTCCCCTTTCCCATCAGGCAATTGGAGCTTGTCAGCCAGGGGAAAGAGACCAAGAGGTTGGCCAGCAGTCCCCAATGGGGTGATCGGGGCCTGCGGGTTGGGGACAGCTCCTGAATTGAGTGCCTGCCCCCTGGTGGTCAGTTCGCATCATAGCCAACCGGTCATTCCACCACCTGGTCAATTTGCATATTACACTTTTATTATATAGGATTATTGTATTTTCCATATGAACAACTGTAAACCTACTTTTGCCCCACCTTGTATATTTGAGTTTGTGTATGTTTTATGTCCAATGTGAAAACTTGGTTGTTGTTCTTCAAGGGTTTTTCTAGAGCTTATCTCATTATATGTTTTTTTAATAGATTGTTTTAAATCTCAGCTAAATTTCAAAAGCCATTTTGAAAGGATGCATTTATTTCAAAAGTGAAAGATTATTACAGGATGTGTATTACATTCAAGATCAAGAGTCTCAGGGAGACAGATTTAGATGATAACAAATATAAAATATATGCTAATTTTCCATGTGTATTGCCAGGCAAAGGCAGGTGGGAAAGATGTTCTTTTCACTCTTGCTCAGCAGTTTTCCTTAGGAGCTAAGTGCGGCATGCAGGGTGATCCCACAGAGCATTCAGGCAGCAGAATGTCTTGGGTAGCATTTTGATATGGAGGAGCATGGGGCAAGTGACCCTAGAACAAGCTGTTACAGAAACTCTGAGAACTGTCCTCACAAGTGAAAGGCCCCCATCCTGCCCTCACCACTCAGTCTTTGCTCCCTGGTTGTTCTTCCCCGGCAGTTCACTCTCCTCTAAACAGTCTTTGCCCCATTTGCTCCATTCCTTCTCTCTCCTGGCAAGTTATGACAGCTGGCTTTGGTACAGAGACCTAAGGATGGCTCATCCCTGGGAACTCCAATGCCTCATTCATGGAGGAAGAAGCTGCCTTGTGATTTGATAGCTTTTCCTGTCTTTTCTTAGATTCTAGGTTTGCAGGCTACCCCAATGTGGTGTGACTGGCAGACCCTGAGGAACTGTTGTGTTGACGACCCATCAACTGTCATGAATGTGATTTTAGAAGCAAAGGTACCATTTTCCTGAGTAATATTCCACTTCCTTCTCTTTTCAAAGTTCCATCTCTCTGGCTAGTTGTGTAGACCCTTCCCCCTTATCAATGTCCAAATTTTTTTATAACTACATCATATTATTTTTCTGGTGTGAGTATGTGTGTGTGTGTGTGTGTGTGTGTGAGTGTGAGAGAGAGAGAGAGAGAGAAAGAGAATGAATTACCAATATACAGAGAAGTATAAAAATAACAGTTGATGCTTTTGTACTATCACCTTGCATTCATTTTCTGCACTGTATACACTGGGGACAAGATGTGTATGTAGCAGTGGAATTGCTGTGTCATTGGCCAGGAGCATCTTGCCTTCATTAGGATGTTACCAACTGCTCTTCAAATCAGTTGCCCCAGTTGTACTTCCACTTCCAGTTCCTGTCGCTCCATATCCTTACTCATTTTTGGTATTACCCCACTTTTCACCTTTTACCAATAAGACGGTATCTCATTGTTTTAATTTTCATTTCCATAATTAGTAATGACTTTGAATATATTTTCATGTATTTATTGGACATTTGAGAGCTATATAGAATTTACCTTCTAAGGAGCTGATATACCATTGTTCAAAATGTAGATTCGCTCATTCAGATGTTCAGCCATCTAGGAAACATTTATTGAGTGCCTGTTATTTGTTAGGCTCTGTGCTAGATGGTAGAGAAACAAAGATTATTAAGCTTAGTTCTTCTGCTTGAGCAGCTCACATTTTGGGAAGTGGGCTGATGAGAGACAGTATTCCTAGGAAATTATTATTTATCAAGTGATAGTTGTAAGCCCAGATTGTAGCAGGAGCATCAGCAGGGCATCTGCGTAGCCTGAGAAACAAGAAGCATCCTGAAGAAAACAACACCAGGCAGAGCTGGGGGGAGGGCATCCCCAATGCCACCATGTTGGAATACTTGGACAAAGCTCAGGAGATTCTGTTCCCTGAAATTGTGATCCAGAGTTCACACACTGGGGGTGAGGAGTAGCAAGGAGAGACGTGGGTGAAATCCAACCCCAAACATGTCTGTTTGGCCTATGCAATATTGGTCTGCAGAATTTTTATTTTTTGTTTTGATTTCATTGCCAACATTTTAAAATAGGAACCTTTTTAATTAAAAAAAAAAATTTTTTTTTAAGACTAATGCCTCTGGATAGTGGCCATAGTCATGTGGCCATAGTCAAAGCTGAATAGGCGTTGTCTCCTTTGGATGGCCTTCTCAGTCTTGCCCAGTTACACTGTATCTCTCAGGGCTGACACCAAGTGTCAATCACTGTATGTTTCCTGCTTTTCTCTTTTATAATACAGCTGAAATGAAAATCATATCGTTAACAGTTACCCTGCTCCATCATTTTCATAACTTACCTGCCCCTCTAGTCCTTTGAGTTTATGATCCCACTTTAACCCTTTAGTGAAATTCCCTTCAGCACTTAGCAAACTTTCTGGGGCTTTAACAGTCTCAAAAATGTTGAAAAAAGAAGAAACAGGCAAAAGCTGCATGAATGCCAAGGCCAGTCATGCAAAGGTACTGAAGATGTGTGTGTGTGTGTGTGTTTCCTTCCAGGAGTATGGACTGTGTGAGGAGTGGGGCTGCCTGTACCCCATTCCAAGAGAACACTTAATCAGCCTACATCAAAAGCATCTTCTTTATCTTCTAGAAGGAGGAGATCATGAAAAGGCTCTGCAGGTAAGCCTCTAACATTTTCCATTTGGGCGGGGGGTAGGGTGGTACAGGAAGGTTAATGAAATCGAATGGCTTTGTTCCTGCTTAATTTTGTACATATATCTGTGATCTCAGGTCTGCCCCTTCTTGTTCTTTGGGAGGTGGTTATAGTCTGAATCTTGAGCAGACTGTGACTAGCTCTGCGTTAGGTAGGAGGGGGACAGCTGGGTCCAGGATTCTGCTAGATCCTGTCAAAGCCATTATTTGTAGAGCTGGGGAGTACGATGAAAAAAAATTAGTGTAGAGGAGTTAGTCTAAGATGCATAAATATTTTGTTCTCAAACAAAGCAAGGCTGGACTACATATTCTACAAGCTTCACCTTTCTCCTCTACCCTTCTCCTACAACAGCTTCTGCGAAGAATTCCTGACCCTTCCATGTGCCTTGAGGTCACAGAGCAAGCCCTCGATCAACACCCTAGCTTGGCCACATCTCACTTCTTGGCCAACTACCTCACCACCCACTTCTATGGAAAACTGACTGCTGTTCGACACCGTGAAATCCAGGCACTGTACATGGGATCCAAGGTAAAGAGGAAAAGCTTTATAAAATCTTTACCCAAGCAGCCCACCATATTCTAGCTGAGTCCCTTAGAACTTGTCATTCTTTTACTGCCCAACGTGATTTTTATCTGGTCCTTTTACATTCTCTTTATGCTATCCCTGGCATCTGCTGTATCAATTCTGAGCATGTATTAGAATCACCTGGACTTTTTGTTGTTGTTTTGAAAAATACCCAAGGATATTTTTCCCATTGATTTTTGAAAAGAATGAAAGGAAGGGCTAGGGAGAGGGGGAGGGAGAGAAAGAAGGGGAGGGGGAGGAAGAAAGAGGGTGGGAGAGTGAGAGAGAAGAAGAAAATCGATTGATTGCCTCCTGCTTGGGCCACAACGGGGGCCAGGGATCAAACCTGCAATCCAGGTATATGAACTTAACTAAGAATTGAACCCAGGACCTGGGCCAACGCTCTGTCCACTGAACCACACTGTCCATGGCACCACCTGGTCTTTTAAAAAATACCAGCAGTTGACCTCCACCCCCAGATCAATTAGAACTAAGTCTCTTGCAACAGGGCCTGGCTATCTTCCAAAGGGATTCTGTTGTGATTATTTAAAACTACTGCTTGATAAAGGGTTAATAGTCTAGGTAATATGATGAGGAAATAGGCCCTTACCTTTGATACATAACCTTAGAGACACTAATGGAAAAAAATCATGAACTAGAAAAAGTAATCCAGTGAAGGAGTGTCTGGGGAGAGATGTGGCCTCTGACACTCTTCTAATAATCCTGATTGGCAGATAGACTGCCCACAAACAGAATGAGCACTGGTACAGCCAGGAATATGACCGCTGGCCCACTTGCTAAGAGGTCAATGTTCCTAAAGAAAATACATCTTTTTTCTTCTTTTGATACATTGTACCTGAATGGGGGACTCCTTGAAAACTGGCAATGAGCGGAACTAATGAACATATTTCAAGGCTAGTGATAACAACCTCCAGAAGTTCAGAATAATCATTCACCTGTAGGATATTGGAGATGCCAGGTTAGGCAATCCACAGATATCATCTTAAATTGCTCTTTCTAATAAAGCCTAAGATGGACAGAATTGTGGCTTTAAGGTGAGACAGAGCTCAGCTATTTCTGGAGGGTCTAGGCCAGAGGTCAGTAGTCTACCACCTGCAGGCTAAATGCAGTCCTACTTTTGAAATCAAGATTTATTGGAACACAAGTGCATGCATTCACGTATTATCTTTGGCTTTTTTCCCCACTACACTGACATATGGCCCACAAAGTCTAAGATGTTTACTGTCTGACTCTTTCCAGTAAAAGTTTGCTAACCCCTCCTCTAGGTGAAGGTACCTGGAGTGTACTTTTTTTTAATTGATTTGAGAGAGAGAGGTTGGGAGAAGTGGGGGGACATCAGTGTGAAAAAGAAACTGATCAGTAGGGATCAAACCCATAACCTGAGTGTATGTCCTGACCAAAAATCAAACCCACAACCTTTTGGTGTGGGGGACAATGTTTCAACTGAGTCATATCCTATATAATAAAAGCTTAATGTGACAAGTGTCCGACCATTCAACCAGTCGCTGACCAGCAGGGGGCACCTGCTCTGACCAGTAGATCAGATTGCTGCTAGGGTCTGGCCAATTGGGACTGGACAAGAGGGACCAGACATGCCCTGGACCCTTCCCGCAGTCCCTCCTGAGCCAACCTCCCCCCACCCTCCCCAACCTCCAACCCCCTGCAGTCCCTCCCAGGCCGGATTTCAAAAGGGCACAGGCCAGGCCAAGGGACTCTACCAGTGCACGAATCCATGCACCAGGCCTCTAATAAACTATATAAACTATATGTGAAATAACTATATCATTTCTAAAAAAGCCTGACAATATTTATTACCACTTGGTTAATCTTATCTGCTAAATTTTAAGTATCATCTCTAACCCTAAAACTAAATTTGGTTCAATATATATCAAATATTATGCTGCTAAATGCCATAAAACATATTATACATATTAATTATGTTAAGTAATTAAAATTTCCACCTATTCAACCACTTTCAGTTTTATACACTCCCTTGCAAACTAATATACTGGACTAAATTTTTTTTTAATTTATTTATTGAGTTGTAAAAGAAAAAAGAATCATCAATTTGTTGTTCCCCTTATTTATGAATTCATTGGTTGATTCTTGTATGTGCCCTGACTGGGGATCAAACCCACAATATTGGGATGTTAGGACATTGCTCTAGTCAACTGAACTATCCAGCCAGGCTGGACTAAAATTTAATTCAACAAATCAATTATAGTATATCAGATCTGTAAGTTATCACCTGAAGAAAAAATTGATAATTTTCATACTGGTTCTTATAAATAAACTTGGTCCTGATCATTCACTTGGCCCCTATCAGCCTGGCCTGCACCCTCTCACAATCTGGGACCTCTTGGGGACTGTCAGCCAGTTTTGGCCCGATCCCCGCAGGCCAGGTCAAGGGACCTCACCAGTGCACGAATCCATGCACTGGTCCTCTAGTTTTTTAATATGTTGTTTTTAAAATATATTTTATTGCTCTTTTTACAAAGAAGAAGGGAGAAGGATAGAGAGTTAGGAATATCAATCAGCTGCCTCCTGCACACTCCTTACTGGGTATGTGTCCATAACGAAGGTACATGCCCTTGACCAGAATCGAACCTAGGACCCTTCTATCCACTGAGCCAAACAAGTTAGGGCTTTCATATGTTTTTATTGATTTTTTTCTTTTGAGAGAGGGGGGGGGGGGGGAATATGGACTGGTTGCTTCCTGCACACCTCACACTAGGGATGGAGTCTGCTGCTCAGGCATGTTCCCTGACCAGAAATAGAACCAGTGATCTCTTGGTGCATGGAACAACACTCAACCACTGAACCACACCGGCCTGGCTGGAATGTGCTTCTTGATTGCCGCCTGAAGGATTTAGATAGGTGTCCATCCTTGCTTCCTACAAGAATACTAGCCAGTTTCAGGAGTTAGCCATGTACCTTTGGTCCCTAGCACCTTCCCTTTCCCAGTAAGAATGTGGGCTTTCTTCTGAGGTTTGGGTACAGTTTTCTTTACTCTGTACCCCACACACAGGTTCTGCTGACCCTGCCTGAGCAGCACCGGGCCAGCTATTCCCACTTGTCCACTAAGCCCCTGCTCATGCTAGAGCAGCTGCTCATGAACATGAAAGTAGACTGGGCCACCGTGGCTGTGCAGACTCTGCACCCGCTGCTAGCCGGGCAGGAGATCGGCTTCACCATGGACGAGGTGGACTCCCTGCTCTCCAGATACGCGGGGAAAGCGCTGGACTTCCCGTACTCTCTGAGGGAGAAGCGATCAGGTAACTGCCAACACCCTGGGGGATAGGAGGAGGCTTTCTACATGGAGTAAGAAGTACTATGCTACATCCTTAGTTTTAATTTATCCTCTTTTATTATTTTGAGTTGATGGGGATTGAAAGAGAGTAGGAGAGATCTTGGTCTTGGAGGAAGTAGCAAGCTAACCAGAATTTTTAAATGGTAGGTCATCACTGTGTGCTTGAGGGCATAAAGGTTTGGGAAACGAACGTATTGGAAGTGGTCTCTGTGTGGCCTTGGTGCAGTAGGCCTTTAAGTGCCAGAATTTTGTGTAGAGAGAATGCTCTATTCCCAGGGTCTCATCAGCTCACATGCCAGTGGCCTCTTCAAGAATGAAGAAAATGAAGTCAATATGAGCTGATGCTCTCAGCCAGCTCTTTTGTTCTTATTCCCTATCCTCCAGGGTCATCATCTCCCACTTCCCTCTGGACGTACTTGGATTGATTTTGTAAAGTCCTAGCACCTGCTTTATTTCCTCGTATGCCTTTATAAACATACTTTGTTGGGGACTTTCAGAAGTAGGCTTAGAAGTGCTCTGCCATTCCTTTTATACCTAGTGGATCATGAAGTGATAGCCAGTGAAAGGAACAGGGCTTTGAACTAAATACCTTGCACAATGAAGATGCTTACGGTAGAACGATATTCTAACAGCATTTTCGTCTCTACAGATTCTGAGATTCACCTCCAGGAAACTGTGGGTCAGGCTTCAGACCTCGAGACCTTGACTAGGTCACCATCAACAGAGTTCTCTTCTGCTACTGCTCCTGGTCAGGGTAAGGACAGGTTCTGAGAGTTTCCCAACTTTTAGTTCAATCTTGCATAATTCTGACTTTCTGATTCTTTTACCCCTTTTTTAAACTTCCCATTACAACATCTTTACTGTTTTTCTTGGTTTGCTCCACTTTGTATACCCCAGAAAATTCAGCATATAGTTGACCCTCATTATTTGTAGTGGTATATCTTTAGTTTCTACTAACATTGACTTAGTGAATACTGAACTATTGCTGCTAGGAAAACTATGTACACAGGTTTATATAGATACTTATCACATACATATCTTTTTCTTGATACATTTTTATTTCAGAGAGGAGGGAAGAGGAAGACAGAGATAGAAACATCAGTGATGAGAGAGAATCATTAATCGGCTGCCTCCTGCACGCCCCACACTGGGACTCGAGCCTGCAACCTGGGCACATGCCCTGACCAGGAATCAAACAGATACCTACTGGCTCATAGGTCGACACTCAACCACTGAGCCATGCCAGAGGGGCAATCACATATATATCATATATATATTCATATATGATTGAGATATATATCATATATATTCACATACAATTTCAATATATATCATATATACAGTTTATATATATATATATATATATATATATATATATATATATATATATCACAAATTATAATCTTAAATTGAAAATAGTTTGTATCCGTAGATTCTATTTTACTTATTTTACAAAAGAGAAAAAGAGGTTCAGCAGTGTTAGGTGACATGCCTGAGGCCGCCCACTATTGGTACTAGAGTTGGAATTCAAGCCCTGTCCAGCCAGCCCCAGAGCTGAGCCTCTTGCATGCACTGTCCTGTTTCCTCCCATCTCCATCTTCCGTCCTCTGAACTAAAACAAAGCAGAACATCACCCTTCAACCTCTGCCAGGAGGCTTAAATTACTCACTGCTCTGCACGTCTGTGAAAGCACTGTAAATAATTATTGTAAGGTTACAAATAAATTTTAGCCAGTAGGCAAATTCACAAATATGGACTCTGTTCATAAGGAGGATTGATTGTATTTAGTCCTCGTGTTTATTCTGCTGCTGTGCTGCACTTAATTACTTATGTCCATCAGCCACACAGGAGGCAAGCTCCTTGAAGGCTTGGCCATGTGTTGGTCGCCCTTTTTACCATCCCTCAGTCTCTCCATACACACTCCAGCCCCTTGCACAGTGGCCTACATGCGAAAGATCAGCAAGTGTGTTTTGCCAGCAGTTGGAGCAGGATTCTAGGGAGAGATCAACAGCCTCTGTTCTTTTGGGTGCCGCTGAGAGTCACTATGTTCTTCCGTTTTCTTTTTCTGTGACTTGCCAACATTGGTCTGCAAGGTGACAAGAAATCTCCTTAGATGCCATAAAGAGACTGTGGCATCTCATGGCCATACTTCATGGTAACCACCAGACCTGAGGGGAGGGCTCAGACTTACAGGTGTATGAGCAGCTACACACGTATCCAAAAGGTGGCCTGAGCAGCTTTGGTTTATGTTTTTGGATTTTATTTTTAGCTTTTTATTATGTTTCAAAGCACAAGAGTAGAGAGAATAGTGCGATGAAGTCTTATTGCCCAGCTATAATAATTACTGTCCCGTGATGACCACACTTGTTTTATCTACACCCCTGTCCTAATGGATTATTTTGAAGCAAATCCTAGATATAATTTTACTTACAAATATATCAGTATATATTACTAAAAGTAAGGACATTTATAAAACAAAACCATAATGTTATTATTATACCTAAAAACAAGTTAATGATTCCTTGTTATTATCAACTACCCAGTCACTATTCAAATTTCCCCAGTTGTCTCATGAAGTTTTTTTTAGAATTGCTTTTTCCAGAATCAAGATGTAAATAATGCTCACACATGGCATTTAGCTAAAATATCTCTTCAGCCAAAACCAGTTTGGCTCAGTGGATAGAGCGTCAGCCTGTTGACTGAAGGATCCCAGGTTGGATTCCAGTCAAGGGCATGTACCTTGGTTGTGGGCACATCCCCAGTGGAGGGTGTGCAGGAGGCAACTGATCGATATATCTCTCTCATCGATATTTCTGGCTCTCTATACCTCTCCCTTTCTCTCTGTAGAAAATCAATAAAAAAAAAATTATATATATATATATATATATATATATATATATATATATATATATATATAAATCTCTTTTAATCAATAGGTTCTCTATATCTTCCCTTTCCCCCGCCCTCCCCTACTTTTTCATTTATGGAGGAAAGTAGGTCATTTGTCCTGAAAAGCATCCCACATGCTGGACTTTGCTGGCTGCTGCCCTGTGGCAATCTGGGTCTTTTTCCCTATATTTGTAGTGTACTGGTAGAGATATCTTAGAAACTTGATTTGATTCAGGCTTAATACTCTAGGGTAAGTATGTTTGATGGGTATTTGTGTGCCCCCCATGAGGAGATATACAGTGTCCAGTTGTCTCTTTTTTTATAATGCAGTCACCCAGTAATGATCATTAACTGCCTTATTTCACTAGGGATTCATAAAGTGGTGAAATTCTAATTCTCTCATTCCTTCCTCATTTATGAGTTGAACTATTCATCACCTTGTCTCTGACTTCTGGCTCTGACTCCCAGGTGTCTCCATTGTACGTTCCCCCAGTCCGAAGGAGAGGAGTGTCCCACCGAGCCAGCCCCCTCTGGAGTTTGTGCCCCCAGCGACGCCCCCGAGCAGGCACCAGTGGGTACCGGATGAGAGCGAGAGTCTCTGCATGGTCTGCTGCAGGGAGCACTTCACTATGGTGAGCAGCATCCGTCTCCAGCTCTGTCTGAAGGAGAAACTAAAGAAAAACTCGAGTTTATAGTCACCTCATGTCCCCATGAAGATTATTGGTATTTTCACAAGAATTACCAAATCTAAGACTTTGGATTTATCTTTGACCTGACCAGAGTGTATTTTTTGGAGCCTTAAATTCTAAAATCTTTGCCATTCTCATGAAAAAAACATAAAAGAGGCAGACAGATATAGCAGGACTCTAAACATCAGAAGACCTTGCTCCAAGCTCCCTTGTCTTTCACAATAAGACAAGTGACTGGTAATGGTTGTATGTGCTGTCTCTGGAAGCAAAAGGCCTGTGTTCTAATCTCAGCTCTGCCTCTTATTAGCAATGTGACCATTACTTTCTTCAGTCTCAGATGCTCACTTGTAAAGTCAGGATGATATGTTATTTGACTCATGGCATTGTAAGGGCTAATTACACCATATTTAACACAGTGCCTGACTGGTATATTACTCAGTGCTGATGAAAATGAGGATGATGTAAATTCTCTGTGTCTGTTTCCTCCTCATTTATAAAAGAGGTGTAATATATTTACCAACCTCTTATAAGGAAATGAGATAGTGCTTGTGAGATACTTTGGAAAAAAAACACACTTTTTCATCATCATGAATAACCATGGAGAAATCTGATCTGCCTTGGCTGAGAAAGTCCCTCCTCTCCACTGATTTTTGCTATATATTTACATGTTGCCTCTGCAGGCAGGTAGATCTTATCAGGAGCCATTGCTAAACTGCTCATGACTTACTTAGGCACCTTGGTTCATCAGCTGGGAGATATCTTTAAATCTCAGCTTCTCAAAGGCAAGCACTAATGTGTTCTTTCTCAACAGAGGCCAGGCACATGGTGTTCTTAATAAGTCACAGGGGCTGACACCAAGGATAAATGGATTAACTCTTCTACTCACAGTTCCCACAGACTTACCTCCTCTTCCTCCCCTTCCTTCTCTGCCCTTTGACACCCCTCAGTTTAACAGGCGTCATCATTGTCGCCGCTGCGGCCGGCTAGTGTGCAGTTCCTGCTCCACTAAGAAAATGGCTGTGGAAGGCTGCAGGGAGAACCCTACTCGCGTGTGTGACCAGTGCTACCGTTACTACAACAAAGAGTGAGTGTCTGCAGTGGGGCTGCTCCTGTTACTGACCACCTCACCCTCCCTCAAGTCCTTGCCCTCCTAGGATAAGGTGACCAGACATCCCGCTTTTTGCGGGACAGTCACAATTTTTAACAATTTGTCCCGCATCCCATGGCGTTTTAAAAAAGTCCCGATTTTTGGAAAGATTCTTGGGACAAATTGTTGAAAATTGGGACATCTGGTCACCTTATCCTAGGAGGCTCATTGTGGAGAGCATCTCAAATCTGTTACAAAATGTTTTAACTTAACATTTAACTTAACATTCAAATGCCGTGAACTCTACAATGAAATGTTGGCCCTTGGTCAGAGAAACTTCTAAGAAAGGAAATAAGATGAGAGGAAGCCAAGTATAGGGCTCTGGCATGATGTTTTCTCTGAGATTAGGACATTTGTTCCGCAGCCCATGCCCTGATTCGGGTCACTGATCTCAGCTCACCAACCTCCTCTCCTGTGTTACAGCCACTCGTGCTCCAGTTGGTCTCAACTGGACCCCAAGGGACATATTCCTACCTGCTGAATGTTTGGGCATCACTTTCATCAGCTCTAATCTATCTAGTCATCCTCGCTTGTTATCCGTAATTAGAAGAGTCTTTCCAGCAATCCTGTATGTTCCTACACACAGTTCACTTGGTGACAAATTTCAGAAACTGCTCATCCCTCTGCTAAAACAGATTAAGGCTGTGTTGGCCTGCTCAGGGTTACTCAATTATTCCCACTACTTCTAGCGCAGAGGAGGCTGGATCTAAGACTCCCAGGGCATATGAGCCAAAGCAACTATCCAAAAGCAAAATTACTTTGAATTCTTCATGTTTTACTTACAGACTTCAATAGGTTTTACATTTTGTTCAGAGGCGTAACAGCAATTTTGTGTTTGGTTTAAAATGAACATTTTTTGTCATTATTTACCATGATGATTACTGATCTAGTAGGAAGGAAGACATGCCATGCTTATACTATAGTTACTGTGACCCTGGCATACCACTGCCTCCCTCAGTGTGGGGACGGGGGAATGATCTGTCTACCATGCTGCTGAGATTGGAAATGAGCAGTTAATATTGATGGTGATTCTTTCATTCATTAGTAATCACTTTGCTCTCAAGGAGCCCCCAGTTAGCGGGGAGGCAGCCAACGAACAGACCACACAGTCATTGAATAAGCACAGTAGTCAGGTGGGTTTCTGAGGGGTAGCACTTGGGCTGAGTCTTAGAGGATGAGAAGTTAGTAGGAAAAGAAGCAAAAACAGAGCATGCCCAGAAATGGGAGGAACAACTGCAAAGGTAAGGATAAGGGTAGGAGAACATGTGGGTCATTGAAGTATAAGTAGGTAGGAGATGCACTAAGATTCTGGCCAGTGCACCTTGGACTTAGAGGTTGGCAACTGAGCCAGGAAGACTTGGGCATTGACACAAGGCTTGGAGCATGCCCTTTGACAACATGGGTTGGGATTGACGAGCAGGCTGCTCATGCAGATCACGATTTATGACTCGGGACCTGAGTTCTGGCTTGTAGTGTCACCTGAAGTTGATCAGAGTCAATGGTAGAGTTGACTCCTTTGGACTTTTATGGGTTGAGCACAGGTTGTGAGTGGCAGGAGATGGTCTTAGGAGGTAACCAGGTCAGGTCACAGGGGGCATTGTCTGCTGAACTGCATTGTGAAATAGTTTTACCCTGAGGAGCTACTGAAGAATTTTAAGGACAAGCATCATTTGACCAGATTTGCATTTTTGAAAGCTTGCTGCAGCTGTAAAGTTCAGAATGGGAAGCTATTGAAAAGGCTCTACTGGTAAATGATGAGGACCCTCTGAGGCAAGGATAGAGAGAGAGATGGGGACATTTAAAGGGGTATTTAGGAGATGGAATGGACAGGAATTGGTCAGTGATTGGCTATGACAAGTGAGGGAGAAGAAAGAGTTTTGGATAATTTCCAATCTCACTCGGGTCACGGAGTAAAGGTCAGTGCTATACCAAGCTCAAATCAAAGAGGGCGAGGAAAGATTCAGGCATTTCATTTTTTCTTTCTGTTTCCAGTGGACCAGCAGAGAATCCAGAACAACCAGAAGGTAAGACTGAACCACTTTGCCTGGGACTCTTTGTTTATATACTCAGATTAGCTTTTCCTTCCTTTTCAGCTGCATTGGCATGCTGTTTGACAGCATGGGTTGAGGTTGACCAGTGGGCTGCTCATGAAGGTCACCTCAGTGACCTTCAATCAAACTCTTTCCTTAAGTTTATCATCATATTGTATTAGTCTATCATTCTGGCCCATTACTTTCCAGCATTGAGAAGGCCAATAACCAAATAACTTGGTCCTTAACTTATAGTAGATTTTAAAAAAAAAAATTTTTTTTTAATATATGTCCATTGATTTTAGAGAGAGGGGAATGGGCAGGGAGAGAGAGAGAAACATCAATATGAGAGAGAAACAAATAACGGCTATCTCCTGCACACCCCTTATTGGGGGTTTGAGCCCACAACCCAGGCTGTGCCCTGACCAGGAATCCTTTTGGTGTATGAGATGGTGCTCATCCACCTGAGCAGCACTGGCCAGGGTGTTTTTTGGTGGTGTTTTTTAACACCTAGGTTCCTGTTCATCATCATACTACCTCCCAAGGCTCCCTCGATCCGATCCTCCTAATTAACTTCTATTAATAGCTTGGCCTATACTCTTCTGCAGTAGAGTAGAAGAGTAGACAGTGGCTCAGCAGTCGTTTGAGAGGCATGAACCTTTCAGGTTTGTGTGGCAAACACTGTAATACTCACCCCCAGGTCTCCCCTGGGGAAGGAAGTTTGAGGTTCCTTAAGGGGGTCTCCTAGAGGAAATAAAAAGGACCAAGCAAAGAGAAAGGGCACTCAGCAGGCAAGGATCTGCCTGCAACTCACGCCAGCTCATGGGGCTGGGCCAGAAGGCCTGCTGGCCAGTGGCTGACACACAGATGGCATTTTCTTCCCAGCCCCGGACAGCGCCGAGAATGAAAACCCACCACACTCAGCCGTGGTCAGAGTCCCCAAAGCACCTGAGGTAGAATGGATTTTGGACTTGAATGAGGAGGAAAATGAGCTGGTGCGGAATGAATTTTACTACGAGCAGGTAACAGCAATAAAATCCAATGGCATTTGAGTTTCTTTATGATGTGGCGGGAAATGCAGAGATAGGTGAACACAGCCTGGCCTTCACTTGCTTAGTTCAAACAATGTGGGAGCTAAGTATACCAGTTAAGGGAGAAAATGAAGAGCATCATGGGAAATGCACACTAGGAGATCAGGAAAGGCTTCCTGAAAAGGTAGCATTTAAGATGAGCCTTAGAAGAGTGTAGAAACTTGGGGATTAGGAGAGGAGTGAAGATAGGGGAAGGCCAAGAGGGCAAAACTAAAACATCTGAACAAAGGTTCAGTGTCATAAATTGCAGGTGATGTGGAGAATTGGAGATGGTTTAATTTTAAGGAATAGGGTGTAGGTAGAAAGGTGGTAAAAGATAGGATTAAAACATGCTATTGATGTTTAGGGACTTGAATTCTGCAGTAAGGAATATGTCCTTAGGAGGCATCAGGGACAGTGAAAGGTTTTGGAATGTGCTTTTGGAATATGAATTATAATATCATCAGTGTGTTCAGTGACTTTAAGCAGAGGCTTCTCCAGGTAGTCAGACAAGCAAGGTGACAATCGTCCTCCAAGCCTACAATAAAGAAAACGTGTGTTAGTGGGACATAGCCTGGAAAGAGGGGGATCCTGCGAGCATTCCCAGAAAGTTGGGAACACGTGAACACAGTAAGGTGATGAAACCTAGCAGCCAGAGCTTCAGCAGTGCTGCTTAGAGCACATGGAATTTGTTTATTTCCACTTCCGCTTTGCTATGGGATGTTGGCCCCTCCTTCAGTGTTTTCCACGCTTTGTGAAGCAGGAAGAATAATTTCCACAATCTAACCACCTATGAAGAATGCGTGGGTCCCTGAACTCCCTGTGTGCTTCTCTCTTCCTCCACCTTGGCCAGGCCCCCAGCGCCTCCTTGTGCATCGCCATCCTGAACCTGCACCGGGACAGCGTTGCCTGTGGCCACCAGCTGATTGAGCACTGCTGCAGGCTGTCCCAGGGCCTCGCCAACCCAGAGGTGGACGCAGGGCTGCTCACGGACATCATGAAGCAGCTGCTCTTCAGCGCCAAGGTGATGTTTGTCAAGGCCGGCCACAGCCAGGACCTGGCTCTTTGTGACAGGTAACGGGAGTAAGTCTCTGTCCTTTTGCCTGGCAGTCATTTCCATCCAGCTTCTCTTCCTGGTCCCACTGTGAGTTTTCACCTCACCATCCTTTCTGCCAAGACATACTGAAATGTTTGCGTCGCAATTCAATGTTAATGTCGTGCTGTTACCAGATCACAAGTGGTCTTCCTCACCCTACCTGAGCAGCCTTTCCTTCTCTGTCCCTGAGTGCATCCTCAAGGCAAGGATTCTCTAGCTATACCCTGTCAGAAAGATCTCAAAGACTTGGGTTGGTTTGTAGTTAACGTCAGTTTAGGGGAGCACCTTTAATCGCTGTGGAACTAACTTTCTGGCTTTTAAAGATGTGTTCTCGCCGAGACTGGTTTGGCTCAATGGATAGAGCGTCGGCTTGGGGACTGAAAGGTCCCGGGTTCGATTCCGGTTAAGGGCATGTATCTTGGTTGCGGGCATATCCCCAGTAGGGGGTGTGCAAGAGGCAGCTGATCGATGACTCTCTCTCTCATCGATATTTCTAACTCTCTATCTCTCTCCCTTCCTCTCTGTACAAAATCAATAAAATATGTTTAAAAATAAATAAATAAATAAATAAATAAATAAAGATGTGTTCTCCCTGAGTTGTCCAGTGCTTACCCTGGACCAAAACTCAACCCCAACCTTGACCAGATTCAGACTGTGGCCTCAGGGAGTTCTGACGAGAGATCTGTAAAGCACGCTGGGGACTGATGTATCCCTGTGTCACAGGTAGGAATCTGAGTCATAAAGTAGAAATATATTTGGGAAAGGCATGATTAAGCCTCAGGCCCCTGCACAACCAGCTCTGCCTCCTTTTATTAACTTGACAGTGAAAACTCCCAGTTCTCAGCTTATCCACCCAGTTGTGTGACTCATGTTGTGTGTTCCCAGCACTCAGTCCTGGCTGAGTGCAAGTACCTCAGGCACTTGCCTGCAAACTCAGCAGCTGGCATAGAGTGCAGTGACTCTCAGCTTCCCCACTTCCAAGCTCTGTCACCTTGGACAAGTCTGTTCACCACTTTGGGCCTCAGTTTCCTCCTCTATAAAATGGATATGACAACAATACTTATAGGGCTGTTTTGAGGACAATGTGAGAATATCCATGTAAAGGGCTAAGAATTGGGCCTACTACTCCAAAAATGTTAACTTTATTATTATTTTTAAATGTTTGCATTGATTTCGGAGAGGGAGAGAGAGAGAGAAACATCAATGAGAGAGAATTATTGATCAGCTGCCTTCTGCATGCCTCCTACTAGGTATCAAGCCCACGACCCAGTCACGTGCCCTGATCTGGAATAGAACTGTGACCACCTTCTGGTTTATAGGTCAGCGCTCAATCACTGAGTCACACCAGCAAAGCAGTTTTATTATTTTTATTCACAAAAAAACAAAAGGTTGAGAAAGAGAAAAGGAGGTGGGACAAAAAATGGAAGTTTGAATAAGTTAATTTCACTTATATCAAGAGGTACTAGATTCTACATCATTTCTCAAGTTGATAAATTAATAAATAGATATAACATGTTAAATAAAGTTTATAAATAACCATGAAAAGAACCAAAAAGCTACCAATTTATCAGAAATGGAAAAGAAGGGAACACAGGGACAGAAACCCCTTCATATAGTACCTCTAAAAAGGTAAAAACTTAAAGCAAAAATTAAAATACGTCTGAATACAGTATGGGGCAAAAGTAGGTTTATAGTTGTAAGTACATGAAACAGTTTATTCTTGTATTTATTAATTATTGTGTTATTTTCTAAATGAACAACTATAAACCAACTTTTGCCCCACCCTGAATATCTTAAATATCAATAATGTAAATGATATTAAAGTTTTATTTTTTTTAAAAAAGAATACTCAGATTGGGAAGGGGGAACAGACTTAACATTAATTCCTATACTTCCTTCAAAATCTATTATAGGCTAGAGGCCCAGTGCACAAAATTCATGCACTGGTAGGTTCCTTAGCAACTTCTGGCTGTCAGCCAGGTACTCCCTCCCTTCCCCTGGCTGCCTGCTACCACCAGGGCCTTCCTCCCTTCCCCCAGCTAGCCCCACCCCCTGGACGAACTCCTGGTGGAGGGGACAATTTGCATACTATGTTTTTATTATATAGGATGAAGGAAATATCCACTTAGGCTGAGGGCAACAGAAGTTAAGGAAGTCCTTAGTTAAGTAGGGTTTTCACTCACCCCACGTGGCTGGGGCTTCAGCAGTGGTTTCAGATTGCACATCCTTTCTCCCTCCTCCCCAGATTCAGAGACACCAACTCCGGAGAATCACTCTTTGTGCCTGTTTGCTGAGGGGAGTGGATACATCTCCCATATGTGTTTAGAATTCTTGGTTTGCAGAATATTTGTCTACTGTCTTCAATTCATTAAAAAAAAGCTTACACCTTCTGTTACAAGTGAATAATATGTAGTGATAACAAATTTGCTTTTTCACACTGTACTTTCCTACTCCATTCCCACTAGCTTGAGAGTCAGTAACGCACTGAATCCTTGTTCAAGGAAATCGGTGGACAAGTCAGATGCACGGGGTCTTTTGCTAGAATTATGTTACAAGATTTAAGAACCTTGGGCACTAGACAGAATAACCCAGCTCTCTGGGCTTTCTGTTACGATAAGGTTTTGCAATCATCAGGTGTCATGAGCACTGAAAGGTGGCAGTCTGGTAGGCGGTGATGAGAGCCCATCTTTAGCCCAGGGAAAGGATGTCGAGTCCCACTACCTCCAGGAATGGTAGTGATGTGAGCCCTGTGCTGACCAGGAGTGCAGGCCGTCCGTACAGTCTCTGTGCTCTGTCCCATGCAAGCAGGGTTCAAAAAGACCAAAAATCTAACCGGAAATTTGAGAGCCTCCAACATTCAAGGTAAAGGCCTTGCCTCAACTAGAAGGCCTGAGTGACCCGCTCCACATGTTAATTCCTAATATTTAATGAGTGCCTGCGAAGCTCTCCTTTCACTTGGGTTGTTTAATTTTTATATTCATTTTACAGATGAGTAAACTGAGATAGAGAAAGGTTAACTAGTTTGCCTAAGATCACAGAGCAGCTAAATGATGGAGTTGAGATTCAGAGTCTGGCTCCAGCCTTCTCTCACAGTGTCTCTGTACCTCTCAGCTCTCACTATCTCAGTAACATTGGAAATAAATAGCACACCTATAAGCAGCAACTATTCTTAGCAAGACTCTGTGGAGCCTCATTGCCTTGTGCTTTTCCTCTCTGTAGCTACATCAGCAAGGTAGACGTGCTGAATATTTTAGTTGCTGCTGCCTATCGCCACGTGCCATCTCTGGATCAGATCTTGCAGCCGGCCGCAGTGACCAGGCTAAGGAACCAGCTTTTGGAAGCTGAGTACTACCAACTAGGCGTTGAGGTGAGGCAAAGACAGAGCTTACTTCTACCCCTGCTGTAATGACTTTCCTTGCCTGGCCTTGCAAACAGGTATTGCATCTCAGTAGTTCATGGCCATGAGCAAGTACCCAGGGCATGACCAGTTTCCCTAGGTGGGGGTGAGGAGAGATAATTGGCAGCAAGGGGATAGAATAGGTCTTTGGGCCTCTTCGGCCTTGATGTAAGTACCTCTAACTACAGGAGCTGTTTTTCCTCCAGGTCTCCACAAAGACTGGGCTGGATCCCACTGGCGCATGGCATGCTTGGGGAATGGCCTGCCTCAAAGCTGGGAACCTCACTGCCGCACGGGAGAAGTTCAGTCGCTGTCTGAAGCCCCCTTTTGACCTCAATCAGCTGAGTCATGGCTCGAGACTGGTACAGGATGTGGTTGAGTACTTGGAGTCCACAGTGAGGCCACTCCTGTCCTTGGTAAGCTCAGCGGATGAAGGGTCCGCTCAGGGAGGGAGGCCCAGGAGCAGTAATGATCTGGGGACAAGATCAAGTTCCACCCAGCTGACGGTGGCAGGCTTGGGTTTTGTTCGTTCTATTATAGTTTGATAAGAACTATGTAAGGTTAGATAAGTGATACAGAGTCACATTTTTTTAAAAGCAAACTACAGAAAACTACTTTAAATGATAAAAATCACGTATAATCTCATACCCAGACTTAAATCGTATTTAGATTTTGGTGAACTTTCTCCGTTGTGTATGTGTGGGGGTTTTTTTAATTGATTTCAGAGAGAAAGGGAGAGGAAGCGAGAGATAAGAAACATCAATGATGAAAGAGAATCATTGATTGGCTACCTCCTGCCTGCCCCCACTGGGGAATGAGCCCTCAACCTGGGCATATGCCCTGACTGGGAATCAAACGGTGACCTCTTGCTTCCTGGGTCAACGCTCAACCACTGAGCTACACCCTGCTGGGCTCTATGTTGTGTTTTTGAATGAAATTAATGTTACACAGTATTTTGGAATTTTGTATCCTGCCTATTTTTCTACCCTTAAAACTGTACCTTGAGCATTTTTCCACGTTGTTAAATATTCTTTAATGACAGTTTCGGGGACTGCAGAGAACATACTGAGTTCCATTTTCCCTCACTCTCTCCTTCCCTGTCAGCAAGATGATGATTACTTGGCCACCTTGAAAGAACTGGAAGCTACCCTTCGGACCCAGAGCCTCTCTCTGGAGGTGATCCCTGAAGGGAAGATCATGAACAACACCTACTACCAAGAGTGCCTCTTCTACCTGCATAACTACAGCACCAACCTGGCCATCATCAGCTTCTACGTGAGGCACAGCTGTCTGCGGGAAGCTCTGCTGCACCTGCTCAACAAGGTGAGACACAGATGCAGCTCTGCCCTCCTCGGGGGGCCACTCAGCTCTGCGGGGTGCGGGCAGTAACCCCTTACACTAACCCCAGGTGAGCCAGGAGATCAGCTCTGGCGGAGGCAGGCCCAGTGGGAAATTCTGTCTACACAGATCATAATTTGATGAGTGTGCAGCAAGTCTTAACCTGGATCCCAGATTGCCCTCCACTGGCAGTGACAAACCACCCCTTCTCCCAAAGCTCACAGCAGAATCAAATGGTGGGTGAGAGCATGATCTCTGGAATAAGATGGTTGGTGTGAGAGGTGTGGCCTTGAGCAAATTGCTTAACCTCTGTTTCCACACACCTCCACCTGCCCTGGGTCTGTGTCCCACTGCCGACCAGCTGCTCATCACTCAGAGTTGTTCCCACAAGGCCAGGAGTCACCCCTAGCACACATCTTATGTTCGTATCTTGTGGAGGGAGAGTGTGCTCTTTTCTCCTTCTGGCATCCGCCACCCTCCTCCCACGGAGGCACAAGCACCACGGGGTGCAGCCTTTCTTTGGAGCCACGGTGAAGCTAAGTCAGGGTTCGGTTTCACCTCAACCCTGTGGCAGGCCTTTTTTTTTTTTTATCTAAATGTCCCTTGAAAACCTTATGGGGACCTGATTCACACCAAATTTCATATAAAAGTAAAAGACCTCAAGGTATACTTTCACTTCAGCTTGCCACTCTAATTCAGAATGGCAGCCGATGAAGGTTCGCAAATAGATTGTGTAGGATTGCTCCAAGTGAAGTCAGCAATTCAGTCTTCGTAACCATGCCCCTACAGGACAGTGAGAGGGAAATGTTTTCTCTGCTGCCCTAGCTCCTAACTGTGCCTTAGCTACGACCAGGTCTGGAGAATAATTGGAAAGTCATATCAGTTAGCGTTGAATTGCTAACCTTTTCCTCCGTTTCCAAATGAGTTCTGAGGTGAATCTGCTTTTCCCAAGCACAGGCCGACGACGGAAGTCACCCAGCTCCGTGTCTTCTAAGTAACAACTAGTCCAGAGAGCTAAGCTGCTTACTTACTTCATCTTGGCAAAAGCTGACGAAAGCGTTGCCCCTGCTTTACATTTGTGAGAGCTGCATGAAGCTTTCTTTTTATCTCCTGTGATCTCTAGTACCCCTGAACTGAAATATCTTACCTTAATCTCAAGCAGGTTGAGAACAACAGAAACACACACACACACAGACACACACACACACACACACAGACACACACACACACACACACACACACACACTGTGACAACAACTAAATGCCTATAGAGAGTGGAAGACACTATGTTTCTAGCCTATTCCCTGTCCTTGTCACCCCTTCGCCTGCCACACTGCCCAGCGTGAGCTTTCTAAAGCATAAATACATGCTGTTTCTGTTACTCATTATTCTTGCTATTCCCTCTGTGAAAGGCCTTCTGTGGGACCCATGGCACAGGATGGAGTCCCAATGCCTTAGCTAGCAGGGCCCACCAGAATCAAGCCCCTTATTTCTCCAGTTTATTTCCATACAAATGCTACCTAGAACCTACATTCCAGATTTAGCCAATGACCCAAATTTTTCTGGCTGTACCGCGTACATTCTTACCTCCACAAGTCTGTTCCCTCTGCCTGGAATGCCCTGCCCCTCCTTACGTTCTCTGAGAACGCACATTCGTCTTTTCAGGCATAGGAGGCGGTGAGCGTAGGTAACGCTGTTGAGGATCTTTCAGCAAAGGGAAGGAGAGAATAGGACAGCCACGAGAGTGGGATCCTGAAAGTTATCTGTGACCCTCAGTCGTTACGAAGCACTGCCCTCAGAAGAGGCTGAAGGAAATTCAGAATGGGTCCCAGGCAGTGCCAGACCCAGGCTCGAGACTTCTGACCTTCTGCTTCGCCCTGCTCTAGGAAAGTCCTCCAGAAGTCTTCATAGAAGGCATTTTTCAGCCAAGCTACAAAAGCGGAAAGCTGCACGTTTTGGAAAACTTGCTAGAATCCATTGATCCAACCTTGGAGTGCTGGGGAGAGTACTTGCTCGCCGCCTGCCAGCATCTGCAGAAGAAGAACTACTATCACATCCTGTACGAGCTGCAGCAGTTTATGAAGGTGAGGGTGGCCCGGCCTGCCGCTGCCTCTGTCGCTGAGGCCCTGCCATGTGTGAGGGGAGACTGCGCAGGGGAAGGAACAAGACTGTCGTTCGGTCCCTGGCCTTGCTAATCGGCTCATGCTAGAGCAATCCATGTTTCCCTCTAGCATTGCTAAGAGGATTTCTCTCCCTGTTCTAAAGAGGGAAACCTGAATCTTGTCAGTAATGGCATTCTTCAGAAGTGAAGGCATGTAAGAGATAGTTTTTTTGTGTGTTTTTTCTTTTATTAAATTATTATCTGTGTACATATCTTACCATTTCCCCCCCCCCACTCCCATACATACCCTCCCTCCCCAGAGTTTTGTATCCATTGGTTGTACTTATATGCATGTATACAAGTCCTTCGGTTGATCTCTTATCTCCCCCAGATCTCCCTACCCTCCCTGCTGTAATTTGACAGTCTGCTTGTTGCTTTACTGTCTCTATATCTATCTTTTGGTTCATCAGTCTATAATGTTCTTTATTATCCATAAGTGAGTGAGGTCATGTGGTGTTTCTCTTTCATTGATTGCTTATTTCACTCAGCATGATGTTCTCCAATTCCATCCAGGTTGCTGCAAATGATGAGAATTCCTTCTTTTTTATAGCAGCATAGTATTCCATTGTGTAGATATACCATAGTTTTTTGATCCAATCATAAGAGATAGTAGTTTTAAGATAAACATGAGGCTGAATGAGAATTTATAAGGAATGATGGAGTGTTTTCAGAGAAGAGGCATGAAGGAAGAGGAAACAAGTTTCTCCCTATCTGTCTGAGGTTTGCCAACTAAATCACGCGAAATTGAGTTATTCAATGCCACAGGTAGAGCGAAGCCTAATTGAACGGAAAATCAAAAGTATCCTTTTTAAGATCTCTCCTGTGGTGGAATAATAGCCTACCCAAGATCTCAGCCAGTCACTTCACTGGGGGGTCTCTCGGGCCTAGGAGGGACTGATGCCAAAGAGCAGTGCAGGTGGCAATAGGAATGGGTGCTGGCATGCAAGCGTCCTGGGTGGGAGTCAGATCAGAATTCCCCCACACCCCACCTCCCTGAACCCTGGCCTCCTACGACCCAAACTTTTGTTTTTCTCTTCTAGGACCAAGTCCGGGCTGCCATGACCTGTATTCGGTTCTTCAGTCACAAAGCGAAGACATACACAGAACTGGGAGAGAAGCTCTCGTGGCTGCTTAAGGCCAAAGACCACCTGAAGATCTACCTCCAAGAAACCTCCCGCAGCTCTAAAAGGAAGAAGAACAACTTCTTCCGAAAGAAGATGACTGCAGCCGATGTGTCCAGGTAGCTCCGGGTTCAGGAACAATCAGGGAGGGTTCAGGGAACAGTCAGGGCAGCCAGAAAGACTAGAGCTGAGTGTCTGTGGGAATGAAGCTGACCTTGCCCATCTCTAAGCCCTTAGGGGAGTGGGGGGCGCGAAGGGGATAGTCATCTAAAAGGAATTATTCCTACTGATCTTGTTGCTGAGAGCACAACACCAAAATAAATGCTCCTTGCCTGGCTGGAATGGTGCAGTGGATGAGTGTCAGCCTATGAACCAGGAGACCACAGGTGGGACACAGGCCCGAGTTGCAGGCTCAGACCCCAGTAGGAGGCGTGTGGAGGCAGCCGATCAATGATTCTCTCTCAGCGTTGATATCTCTATCTCTCTCTCCCTCTCCCTTCTTTTCTCTCTAAAATCAATAAAAACCTTTTTTTTTTTTTTAAGTAAATGCTGCCCTGCTACCATTTACTGCCTCATAGACCCAGTTGCTAGTTGCTTTATGTGTTTGTTCATTATTCATCTCTCCTCAGCTGATGGGCTCTGAGGTCAGGGCTCATGTCTCTCTTGGCCTCTATTGTTAGCAGCACATCAATGCTCTGTAAATACTTACTGATTCAAGGACTGGACCTCACCCAGTTCCACAAAGCACCATAACTATTGTGAGTCTGTACTGGGCACTAGACCACCGTGTCTGTGCTGTTGTAACTGCTCAGAGGGTGTTTTGATCTCTTCTCCTTCCATATCGTTTCTTTTGGCCTTTTCCATTGCCATCTCATTACGATTTCTAAGTCACCCAGCCCTAGTCATGTGATTCCTGGAGCCCCTGAGGAGGCTAGTCTGTGCGTCTCCTTTCACCGTAGGCACATGAACACACTCCAGCTGCAGATGGAAGTGACCAGGTTTTTACACCGGTGTGAAAGTGCCGGGACCTCTCAGATCACCACCTTGCCTCTGCCAACCCTGTTTGGAAATAACCACATGAAAATGGATGTTGCCTGCAAGGTACGCACAGTATTTCAGACCTGCAGAGACTATTCTCTTTCGGAACATACATAACATTTATAATATTATTTCAGTTGTTTGTTGGATGGCCATCCCCCACCAGAATGTGGCCACAGGAGGTGGCAGAGCAAGTCCATTTAGATTGCTCTTGTATCCCTAGTGCCTGGCTCCTAGTAGATCTCATCAAATATTTTTTGAATAAATGGGGGCCCTCCCTCTTGATTGAGGGGCTACTCTGTAATTATTGCTTCTGTTGTTTCCCTCTCCTTCTCAGGTCATGCTAGGAGGGAAAAATGTCGAAGATGGTTTCGGAATGGCATTCCGTGTTCTGCAGGTATGACTTGGATTACTCGAGATTATGCTGAGGGCAATCAGCACCTGACCTGCTCTGTGAGAGATTATTCTTCAGAAAATTTTATCCCCAGAATAGTAGATTCACATGTGTGTCAGGATGAAATCAAGGAGGTGATTGTTACAGAACTGGGTCAAAGTCAAGACTCTAGGCCACTTTGTCAAAAGCCAAGTAACCAGGGACAAATTCATCAAAGGCTATCAAACAGATTCCTGAAACAAGTCTAGGAATTTCCCTGCAGAGCCTCAGCTCGCCCTCGCAGGGGAGGATGGACAGAGGAGGTGGCTGGGGGGTTTCCTCTTCAGCAGGAGAATCTTTCCTCCCCTACCCCCTGGGGCAACAAGGGCTGACTCTCCATCCTCCATCTGCCCAGGAGCTGGCTTGATGAGCCCATTTTCTGTTGCCTGTGAGTAAAAGACGCAGGCACAACCGTGTCACTGGAGCAGCACTAGAGCAGGGCACTGACACCACAGGGAGCTGAGCGGTTTCTCCAGACCACCCCCTACCGCACAACTGCACCCTAAGGACCATCATTCTGGGCAGGCAGGGTCTTAAACGCGAGCTTTATGCGTGTATCAAGGATCGACTTCATGCCCAACATTTATTTCTTCCCACCTGTCTTTAGTGTTGTCTCCACACACAGACACCCCTGGTGATAGGCAGAGTGGCAGCTACCCCCAGACCCCAGGGAGGATTGTCCTAGACCAGGCTTGAAGTTCAAGGTTATCTGATGTTTCCAGCAAATCAGTCTTTTGATGAATTGGTCTGTTTACAAGCACGAAGGCACCTCTTGACAGCACCAAGTGTCCAGGAAAAGCAAATACCAGCCCCAATATCATTACTACAATCTTCCAAGAAAAGGTGGCTCATTAGAGAATGAACTGCTGTTGTGAATCTGATTAGAGTATTTTCATAAAGTGATACAGCAGCAAGTAAGATGTACCAGTTTAGATGTTAAGGTTATGATTTTTATGGTTGCTTCCTAAATGTCTGCTTGACTCCAAAAGAGGATTTTGGCTTGTTTTGTTTATGTGTGTTTTCTATCGTGACTACAATCAATATGGCTTGTAGTGGGAGATTTTTACAGGTTGCCTTCTTTCCTCTGTTATTGCCCATGCCACCTAAACCCATCATCCACGTTCTATTCTAGGACTTCCAGCTGGATGCTGCCGCAACCTACTGCCGAGCTGCCCGGCAGTTGGTGGAGAGGGAGAAATACAGTGAGATCCGACAGCTGCTCAAATGTGTCTCCGAGTCAGGCATGGCAGCCAAGAGTGACGGGGACACCATCCTCCTCAACTGCTTGGAAGCCTTCAAGAGAATTCCACCCCAGGTGCGCTCACTCCCAGGCTCTGGCTCCTCCCTCCGTTTCAGCATCTTCACATCCCCGCTTTAGATTTCTGTTTCCCACAATGCACCTGAAATTCTACATGTAATAACGGCCCACTGTAATAACGGCCTCGCTCTAATCAACCCTTCTGTGGAAAGAAAAGTCATGGTGATAACCTCATACTAGAAAGTGGCCCTCCATTTCTAATGTCGCTTGCACCTAGAAGTATCTATGGATTGTTGGAATTGAGCTTCTGTGATTGTAGAGATGGTCCACAATTTCATAAAGTGATATACCACTTTATGCCTCAAAGCTAGATCTGCACATGGCCTTTGAGGCACATTGCCTGTGAGAGTGTCCCCCTGTGGAAGAGCCACCTCGTTGGTGAAGGCCAAGGACATGCCTCTTGAGAGCCGATCCTTCCCAAGTTCCTGAGCTTAGTGTTATCAGATTCCCTTTGTTGCTCTTAAGCCAGGAGCTGAGTTTATAAACCAGTTGGGCAGGCATCACCATCCTGGAGTCAGACCAGCAGGGCTAAAACTGGATTGGGCCCCAGCTTTCCCAGGGACACTTCCTGCTCACATCAGCTGTGTTTCTGTCCTCACAGGAGCTGGAGGGCCTGATCCAGGCAATACACCATGATGACAACAAGGTGAGCAACACCGCCTCCTCCCCCATGATGCTCATACATCACCAAGGCTGGCCCTGTCCCCGTTATTCCTTGCTCCCCTTGGCAGCTCTGATCAACCTGCATCTCAGCTTCCTTGTTATCCAGAGGAAGAGCCGGGACCCAGATAGGGTGTGATGGGAGGGAATAGATGCGAATGCATGACCATGGACCGCATGAGTCTTTGCCTTTCTATTTCTTTATCCCCAAGACATACATGCCCTAGGCCACTCTTGAACCTTCATTTTCTGTGGAGGTCTTCTCTCAGGCAGCCCTCTGAAGTCCCTCACTTCCATCATTAGGTGACAGATTGAACGAGGTTCTCAGAGTGCATAGGCGTTTTTTCATTCTGGAAGGAAAAAGGTACTCTCCATAGCAGGAAAAAACCTCACCCAACCCTTAACCAACAAATACCCACTGGTGTCACATTCCCTGGAACAGGCCTTTCTCCTGCGGCCTCTGAGCTCTTTCCTGTTTAGTAAGAAACCAGGGAACCTTTGCTTCGCCTTGCCTTTGCAAGGAGGGCCGGCCAGAGTCAAATTATCCCCAGCTGCCCCCGTTTGTGGCTCACAGCTGGCCCAATCTACCTGCCATCCAGAGGACCGGACAGGCTTGGGAAAACCCAGCCCTCTGCACCCACTAGCAGGGGAATGATCTGGCAGCTGAGTGTGAAGAAAACTGGTGTCAGATAAACAACTTCTTAAGCAACCACAGAGTCACTCCAGTGACAGTAGTGCTAATCACTGGAGTGCGTTTTCAGGGCATTTTTCATGTGAGGACTTAAGGTAAAAATGTTCTTAACATTTCTTTATTTCTGCAACCCCCTGGTGAGATCCTGTGGAAAGGATGGCATTGACATTCTGAAATGTGGAAGATTGCTTTTCTAGAATCAAAATGAGAAGCCGACAGCCAGGCCAGATACCAGGTCCCCGGACTCGCAGACTGTGGTCCTTTTCCAAGCCTTCAGTCAGCCTCCCACTCAACAGGACAGGGGCTCTGTCCCTGGGAAAGACGTGCACTGACATCCAGAGAGTCATTGCTTTTCGAGTGTTGTTTTTTCAGCAGTTGTTTTTTGTTTGTTTGTTTTGTTTTGTTTTTGTTAATCCTCACCTGGGGGTATTTTTTCCTTTGATTTTTTTTAAAGAGAGTGGGATGATGGAGCTGGGGAAAAAGAGAGAAGAGGGAGAGGAAAGAGAGAGAGGGAAACATCAATGTGAGAGAGACACATCTATTGATTGCCTTCCACGTGTGCCCCAACTGGGGGTGGGGGTTGAACCTGCAACCTGCCCTTGAGTGGAATCAAACCACAACCCTTCAGTGCACAGGCTGGTGCCCTAACCACTGAGCACCCGGCCAGGGCTCAGCAGCTGTTTTAGTGCACTTTAGCAATCTCAGGCGACAAAATCTCGCCCAAAAATAAGTTCATTTCGTTCCTATTCCAGCCTTTCTGGCACAATGCCCTCCTTCTCTTGGTAGGAATTTTGCCTGTCAACTTGTGTAACATATTTAGCACACATAGGTGCCTGCGTGAAGACAGTATCATGGGGCAACAGGTGGATATCCAAACAGCAGGACTTGGCCACTTTAGTGAGCTCAGAACATGCTAGACCTCAGGCTTTAGGAGATGAATTGAGCTTAGGAAAGACTTTAGTGACCAAGATAAAAAAAAAGAATATGGAGCACTGAAACACGAAGAGAGAAGAGTCTCCTCCAGCCATCAGGACAGACTGTCACAGCAGAAAGGCAGCTTCTAATGAGAGCTTGGGGCACTTGGGAGGGCCTCCCTGTTGGCTGGCCTACCACACTGGCCAATCAGGGAGGTGCTGGTGAGGTCAGGGCCAGGGGAGAAGGGATTTTCTTCTTCAACAAGCTGGGGATTCATGAGACCAAGGGTGTGCAAAGAATAGGAGAAACACCACCTGTACCCAAAACAGAGCTTGCTCTGATCCAAACAACAAAAATTAAATCTTTTCTAATTATGCTTATAACTTTTATTCCCCAAATTTTCTGCTAAAAGATTTTAAATCCAGCAGTTTAAAAACAAAAAAGCAAGGATTGGGATCTGTGTGCCCATTGTAGGGGACAGGGATAATTGTTCATTCGTTCATTCATTCATTCACTTGATGCATACTAATTAAACACCCCTACATGCCAGGCGCTGTACTAGGCACCAGAAACTCAGAGTAGAAAAAGCAGACACTGTTCCTGCACTCAGGGATCTTAAACTCTAGTCACAGAGACAGACATCAATCAAATAATCATCCAAGTAACTAACATCACAACTTATAGACGGTAAAGCCAGGAAGAAGCTGGAGAGCCCAAGATAGTGAGGAGGGAAAGGCAGAGGCCAGACTCTGCCTTCCTGCTTGCTGCCTTCTCTTTGAAATTCGTATTTTATTTGTAATAGCCTAGTGCCCAGACTGTTTAAAGAGTTGCTATATACATATATATATATATATATATATATATATATATATATATACACACACACACACACACATATATATATAATACACACACATATATATATAAAAGGCTAATACATTTTTATATTTTATATATATATATATATATATATATACACACACACACACACACACACACACACACACACACACACACACATATGGCTAACATGCAAACTCTGCAGAAGTTTGACCAGGAGACCGAGAGTTCTATTACTTGCTGTGATGTGCGCTGACCGGCAGCGGGTGATGTGGAATGAAGGAAGACCCTGATCGGCAGCCAGAAGACCCCAATCAGCTCTGATCGCTGGCCAGGTCTAGGGACCCTGCCCATGCACGAATTTCATGCACCGGGCCTCTAGTAATATAATGAAAAGTAGGAACCCAGTGATGGATGTGGTGGGCGAGAAGGGGCAACTTGTGTGCCTGAGCTCTGGTGCAGTGCTCTGTGTTTCTCGGTGATCCAACAGTGACGTTTCCTTTCCACTTCTCATACCCATTGCCAGGTTCAGGCCTACCTGACATGTTGCAAGTTGCGCTCCGCCTATCTGATTGCCGTGAAGCAGGAACACTCACGGGCCACAGCCCTCGTCCAGCAGGTGCAGCAGGCCGCCAAGAGCAGTGGGGACGCTGTAGTGCAAGACATCTGCACCCAGTGGCTACTGACAAGCCAGGCCCGGGGTGCTCTTGGCTCCGGCTCCCGGAAGTGAGCGTGGGCAGTGGGCCCTGAGGACTGGGACAGGAGTGATAGGGATGCTCTCTACTTCTTTCCTCCTGTGCAGAGAGACTTCTCTGGCTCTGCCTGGGTCGGAAAGAGCTGGATTGGACCCTCCTTGCCATCTTGGGCAAAGACTGGGCCTTTCACACAAGTGCCAGGCTTCTCTAAGATGGAACTCTGCTTGTCTAGAGATGGCCAGTCTTCCTACCTCAGAGTGAGTGCATGGCATTCCTGCACACTCATGTTTACGCGCAAGCATTTCTGACAAATGAATCTCTTCCCCTACTGAACAGAGGCACTTTATTTAGACTGCTGCCTGTCTGGAAACCTTCCCTGCGTTTTGGTTCTTAACCCGGGTCATCCTGTTTGTGTACACATTCCCCTCTGTGGAGACATTCCCTTCAGTAGCTCCTCGTGACTAAAAGGGTTTTATCATGAATTACAGAGCAGCACCGAAAGGATTGCCTCTTTCCCCTCCCTTGCCTTCCCAGCATTCAGAGATGGCTTTGGGGCAGAGGCTGCTTGTGGAATAAAACTGCTCCAAGTGTCTCTTCTCAAAGCACAAGAAGTTACCCTGAATCTTTAGACAGTAGTCTGAACAGAAGGGTCCTCCCCCGGGTGCTGGCATCTGACAGCTGTGGGTGCACATACAAGTGATCAGGTCTGGAATCCCAGACATGACAAGAGGGACACCACTGACTTCATACAACAGGGAGAGAAGGGCTAGCCTCTCCAAACGGGAATGCAGGGGTTTCTTACAAGCACAGCCGGCTTTGTGACTATGCCTGCTGCATAGTGAGAGGATGTGGTTCCCTCTTTGAGAGTCTGGGGCGAGAACTGGTAGCCAGAATCCTAGAATGAATGCCTAGACTTAGCCTATTTGAGTGACAGTCCTATTCGTGCCCCTTCAACTGGTTAGGAAACTACTTCCTCTCCTCTCCTGCTTCTGTGCAGTCTCTCCAGGGCCTCAGAACAGATAAGCAGAGACCCAGGGTCATGGGGTCAAGGGTTTGCTTTGCAGGTGGACTGCAGGCAAAAGTCAGATCAGGGGACAATGAATAGGTTTCATCCGGTTGGTGAAACAAGGTGATGTGCTCCTTTCATATGGGCTTGTATTCCCACGCGAGATGTGACAATGTTTTAGAGAGGGTCTGTTGTGCTCAGTGACCAGTGACATGAATTTGCAGAGGAGAGGCCCAAGAGAAGCTGAGCTGCTCTGAGCTTCCCACTGACCAGGGCTCAGCCTGCTGATCTCACATTCGCTGTTAAGACAAACAGGAACCAGAAGCGAAGTCAATATTTCTGGTGCTTAGAACCCTGTGGATTTCCCTTGGAGCCAGGTATTTTGGTAGTAAATAAATAAGTATTAGGCACCTATCAGGTTCAGAGTGTTCATCCTGATAGCAGGAAGTCTGCAAACAAAATAATTGGTTCCTTTTGTGGAAGGTTGACAAGTAGCTGTCTCCTGGGAAGCGTCATTTCCTGGTATCTGCTTGCCCCTCTGAGCCTGCCCTTTTTGCACTGAACATAAGCACTTTATATGAATGGTCTGCAGATTTCGCAGCCCTTAACTTGGGATGTTAAACCAGATTTTCCTGACTTTTTTCTCCCAACTAGTTGAGCTATAACATAGGCAACCATTGACAAGACTGACACAAGATGAAGGTGAAGGCCTTTGAGCATCACACTGTGGTCTCGAGCAAAACAACATTTGGAAGGGTTGAATGTTTTACTAGAAGCAGCCACAATAAAGTCTGTCCTACCAGCTTGGCTTCATGAATTCTTGTTCTGTCTTGTTCTTACTCTTCCCTTCCTTCCTGCCTCATGGTCTGTGTGGAGAAAGTGGGTGGGAAAGATCAGATGGTCTTGAACTCTTAAACTTCTCTAAATGATCCCCATTATAACTGATGACTTTATCTCAAGTTTCCTATGTGTTAAAGACTATTAGTATACAATCTACTACCAGAAACTTTTTTTTTTCTTTAATTGGGTAGTACCGTGTTTCCCCGAAAATAAGACATCCTCCGAAATTAAGACCTAGCGCATGGAAAGATAAGACATCCCCTGAAAATAAGACCTAGAGCAACTTTGGGAGAAAAAATTAATATAAGACACTGTCTCATTTTGGGGGAAATAGGGTAGGTGGAGATCACACATTCATCAGGTATAGAAGGTAAGTGAAAAGTCCCTCCCATCCTTGTCCCCTCAGCCCAGTCTCCTCTCAGACACTACCAGTGTCAACAGTTGTCTCTAGTTCCAGAGCTATTCCATGCATAAACAGCAGTAACAACTAAAATATCCCATGGTCTGCAACTAAAAAATATGCCCTAATTATTTAACCAACCTCTATTCATTGGCCTTTTATATATTTTATTATTTTTTTACAGAGGGGAAGGGAGAAGGATAGTTAGAAACATTGAGAGAGAAACATTGATTAGCTGCCTCCTGCACATCCCCAACTGGGGATGTGCCCACAACCAAGCTATATGCCTTTGTCTGGAATTGAACCTTGGACCCTTCAGTCCGCCGGCCAATACTCTGTCCACTGAGCCAAACCGGTTAAGGCTATTCGTGGACCTTTTAGGTCATTGCCATTATTTGCCACAACAAATTATACTGCAGTTATCTTGTCCAGAATACCCTGTGTCAGAGGGAATGTGCCCTTAGTAAGTCTTGCCAGTTGCCTTGCAAAAAGGTCCAGCAGATAAATGTCCCACCAGATGTGTGGGGCAGTGCCTGTTTGCCCACACCCTTGCCTCAACAGTTATCAAACTTTACAGGTCTTTGCCTGTGTGATGAATGAAAAATGGCACTCTGAAATATTTTGTAATGCTGTTTGTTGTTTTTTAAATTCTATGTCTTGAATTTCATCAACCCAATTGTGACTCTTTGAAACCAAGTATAGGGTCTTTGGGGAAAGCAGAACTTGGCTTAACTTGTTTTCTTGACACCTCGGAGCACGTATTTGCAATATAACATTTGAGCCGTGGACATTGCTCAAATTATCTCCCTTCCCCAGAAACATGATCTCTTCCAATTCTTCATTTTTAAAAACACACAAAAATGATAAAAGTACCTGAAAACCACATAGTGTGTGTCAACAGAGTGTGGAATCTTGGAGGGAAAGTGGGGGAAGGTGGGTGGGTAGGAGGTAACCAACCATGGACACAGACAATAGGGAAGTGAAAGCCTGGGGTGGGGGCTGGAGAGTGTCAATGGAAGATATAGAGGGACATATGTAATAGCTTTCAACAATAAAGATTAAAAAATAAACAAAAGGAGATGTGTCACAACAAAGCAAATTGGAACACACACACACACACACACACCCCGCCCCCAATCTACATCTAGCATACAGGACCACTGACTATGTTTAGAAACCTGAGACACTCCAAAGTTACCAGATATCTTTGGCTTGAGCTTAACAAAGTAGATCAAATGCTATTAGACTCTCTTCATATTCAGGCAACCAAACAGCAATAGTCACAGTGTCCCTGAGGAAAATGGCTTTTCCTTGGTCATCATCCTTTCATTCACAGTAATAATACTGACTAACCCATCCTTGAAACTTTCCATTCTACACGTCGTTCAGCTGGTTACTGAATGGCCTCTAGTTTCTGAAAGGCATCTCTGGTGGAGTGCTTCCCTGCTCCCTGTTCTTCATGTTATTACTGCTTGAAACGACAGTCCCCTCTCAGACACTACCAGTGTCACCATCCAGTCCTCTGTTGTCAAACCCTTCAAGCCCATTTCAAGTGCCATCTCTATAAATTATTTGCTTCTCTGCTATACTTGCTCTTCATTCCACTTAAAGGTGAAATTCTTTAAGGTTCTAGTCTCTTTTGACACTCATACTCTCCCATACAACCTCATAGTTTCAGCAGTCATCATGAGTTCTAAATCAAATTTGTCTGCCTAAATTCTTCTCCACATCAGACCTGCCTTTTGACTGCTTTCTGGAACTCACCCCCATGGCTAACTTGTACCTAAAAAAAATTAGCACATCCAAAATGTAACACATCCTAATCCACCCATAAACTTTATCTTCCTCCTCCAGTGGATATTAGTATTAATGTTATTTTTACTATTATTACTAGTATGCATGCTGTTTGGGTTAGAAACTTCAAGGTTCTCTGTATTGACTCTTTGCTCTCCTCATTCAACAAACATTCAAATACCTACCATGCATTAAGCACATATCCAGTTGAAAGCCAATTTCCAATTGGAAGAACCTGGTCCTTCTGCTTCATCACCTCACTTCAGGTCCTTGTCACTTCCTCCAGGACTGTCACAGACGCCTCTTTTCTTGACCTTAAACACCCATCCAAAAGGTGCACCTTTAATGCACTCCAGATTAAATAATACTTCTAGGAGAACAAACAGACTTCTCTATCATATTGAGGTATGAAACGTCTTTTATTAAAAAATATATTTTTAATTGTTTTTTTACAGAGAGGAAGGGAGCAGGATAGATAGAAATATCGCTGAGAGAGAAACAATGATCAGCTGCCTCCTACACACTCTCTACTGAGGATGTGCCCACAACCAAGGTACGTGCTCTTTACCGGAATCGAACCTGGGACCCTTCAGTCCGCAGGCTGATGCTCTATCCACTGAGCCAAACCGGCTTTGGCTGAAATGTCTTCTTAAGTAAATACAAACCCCAGAATCCATGGATCATTTCATTGTTTTTAATATTGTTAAAATATTATTGATATAAAATGTACTCTTTTAACCCTTCTGTGTAACTTAAAGCTCCTATTCTTGCCAAAACCGGTTTGGCTCAGTGAATAGAGCAGCAGCCTGCAGACAGGGATCCCAGGTTCGATTCCGGTAAAGGGCACATGTATCTTGGTTGTGGGCACATCCCAAGTGGGAGGTGTGCAGAAGGCAGCTGATGGATGTTTCTCTCTCATCGATATTTCTAACTCTCTTCCTCTCCTTTCCTCTCTGTAAAAGGTCAATAAAATATGTTGGGTTGTTTGGTTTTTTTATAGCTCTCCTATTCTTCCCACTTGACAGTCAATTGTATTTGTTATTTGATTACCTGATAGACCATAAGCTCCTCGGGGCAAGCTCTTGCTCACCTTGAGTTGCTTACAAATTATGCATTACTTACCAGTACATGAAAGTTTGTTGAACTAAATTGCATAGACTGAATCAGAAATCATTGATAAAGTAAGCATTTTGAAGTATCTATTTAAGAGTCTTTTTCCAAACTAAGCTTATCAAGGTCGAATGGATCATTTTTTACCTTCCGCCCCACACGCTTCTTTCAGGTTCCCAGAGAGACATGTTCTTTGCCTTCTGAGCCAGCCGCCTAGACCACTTTTTCCCCCTCTTCACCTGGAGACTCACCATTCGGGTCTTACTTAAACACAGGCCACTTGGTTCAGGAAGTCTTCTGTGCTCTCTTTCCCCCGCCCATTCCAGACTAAGGTGGGCACCTCTTAGATGGGCAGGAAAGAGCCAAGGAGGGCAACAAACAGAAGCAAACTCTATCTTTGATGAAACTAAAAGACCACTGAGAAATTCACAATATGAAGATTAAAAATGGATGGAGTGACATCTCTTCTAATGTAGAAGGTGAAAAAAAAAGAAAATATGAGTGGCATGCAGGTAAGTTTGCTGGTTTGGGAGCATGAAGTTGAGGGAGTTGATGGCTGATGGCTTTTTTTTTTTTAATATATTTTATTGATTTTGTACAGAGAGGAAGGGAGAGAGATAGAAAGCTAGAAACATCGATGAGAGAGAGTCATCGATCAGCTGCCTCTTGCACACCCCCTACTGGGGATATGCCCGCAACCAAGGTACATGCCCTTGACCAGAATCGAACCCGGGTCCCTTCAGTCCCCAAACCGACGCTCTATCCGTTGAGCCAAACCGGTCTCGGCATGATGGCTGATGGCTTTAATATCATCTATGAAGTCAGAGAAAAAAATCACCTGTTAATGGGTGAAGGGAGCTGGTGGGTTGAATAGCTTGAGAATAGGAGAGGACATGAATTAAGTGTTGTAAACTCAGAGGCAGGTTCACTGTGAAGCTTTGGAAATTTACCTGGTCCTGTGAATTGCTGGGAATTGTATTCTAGTTGGGGAGGGGAAACCAGGTTGCTATCAGAAAGCATTTTCATTGAAGCATTGCTGGTAAAATCCTGAAGAGATCTCATAAGACCGTAAGTCCCCACCTCCCCCGTTATGCATGGTTGTTTCTCATTTTAGATCAACATCCACTTTTGTACCTAATTTTGTGACTGTTAATTTTGTATTCTTAAAGATGGCCCCGCAAATTGTATGAGCTTCCCTGCATCCATCCTAGCTATGGAAAAATAGATGATCAGGCAGTGTTGAAAGCCCAGTTGACATGGATGACTAGTGATTAGTGATTGATAGTGGCCCCAGTCTGCCAGGTGGCATGATTTTCTCCTGCAGCACTCCTGGCATATAGAAATCAGAGAGTTGGATCCTTCCATGCTTGGCCATTGCTAGGCAAGGGTAATAGTGTAGCCGGAGAACTGGCAGGGGGAAAAGCTGGAGGAGTAAGAGGCTTAGCTGGAGTAAGATGTTGGGAGTTAAGACATCTGAGGAGCAGCAAGCTCGTGTGATAACAAGGTGTCTAGGTGTAGTCCTTGTCCTGATAAGGGAGACTGAGAGGAGTGAATAAGTTCAGTGCTGAGGAAATCAGGAAGCCACATCTGAGTGGGCAAGTGGCACACTTGCAAATACTAGTGCTTTGTGCAACCCATATACACCCACACCATTCACT